GCTAGCAATAATATTAGCCCTGGAGGAGTGATGACATTATCTGATTGGGGTAGTCCAAACCTTCAAGATCTGGACAGATCATCAGAACCTCTAGTATTTCAGGCAGCTGCAGAAACTTAACTGATGACAGGCACACTGGGTCATAGAACTGAGCCAGTATCTGTATACTCTGCATCACAAAGCAGGGACCATAAACAAGAAGGCAGACCTACTAAGCCAGAGAGCTGATCATGATCAAGGAGAGCATGACAACAAAAGGGTGATCCTGATCTGCCCAAAACATTTTAGGATCATGATCATGCCCATGGAAGAGGAGATCCATGAAAGGATCAAGAGTATCACAAGGGACATCAGCAAGTGGAAGCAACATATGGCTTTATCTCTAAATCACAAAAGAGGAATGATGAAGAAAGAAGGGATGATCTGGTATGACAGCTGGATCTATATTCCCTGGAACCAAGTCTTATGTGGTGAGATCATTACCACCTATTATGACCATATGACTATCAGACACCCAGATATTACCAAGATGAAGGAACTTGTCTTATGAGAATATTGGTGGCCTAAAATAGGCAACAACATCATATAATACATCAAAGTATGTGAAGTTTGTCAATGAGGCAAATCTTCCACTCAGCTACAAGCAGCATCACTCTATCCAAACAAGATCCCATCATCACCATGGACTCATATCTCAGTGGATATGGTAACAGGACTGCTGGACTGTAATGGCTATAATGTCATTATCATCATAGTCAATCAATTTTCTAAGGCAATCATCTCAATTGCTTGTTTAACAGAGTTAACTTCTGAAGAATGGGTGAAGATCCTTCATGATGAGGTATACACCAAATATAGCATACCTCAAGTGGTTATTTTGGACAGAGAGACCCAATTCATCTCTAAATTCTTGAATGACTTATATCAGCTTCTGAACATCAAATGGAACACATCCACTGCCTACCATCTCCAAACAGATGGACAGACAGAATGAGTTAATCAAGAAGTGGAAAAATACCTTTGTCTTTTCATCAACTATGGCCAGGATGACTGAACAGAGTGGCTGGCACTTGCTGCCTTCCAACACAACAATTGAGTCCACTCCATGACTGGCAAAACTCTCTTCTTTGTCAATTATGGCCATCACTCTAATATTGCCCAAACAGAATGTCTTCACACTACAACCCCCACTTCCACTGACTTTGCCACTACCATAGCAAAGATACATTATGAAACAAAGACAGCCCTCAAAAAGGCTGCAGCATCCATGAAAAAACAATATGACAAGCACCACTGACTGGCACATGAATATTCAACCAACAACAAAGTCTGGTTGGATACCACAAACCTACATCTTCCCTGGCCAAAATGCAAACTAGATGACAAGTGGACAGGGCCCTTCTCTGTCCTTGCAAAAGTGGGCAACTCAGCCTACAAATTGCACCTTCCCTCCAGCTGGAAAATTCATGATGTGTTCAATGAAATATTGTTGACACTCTATGTCACACCCACATTCTCAAATCAGAAATATCCACCTCCACTGCCACCTGATTTAATCAATGATGAAGAGCATTACAAAATTGACAAGGTATTAAATCACAAATCTATGACTACAAATAGAGAATAAATTGACTATACCAGATCACCTTTCTCATGACTGACATGAGAAGAAGGGCAGGTTATCTGCTCTAGGACCAGCCTACTTATCCCTAAATTAAGCTATCAGGATGATGGTCTTAAGGAGGGAGTAATGTTATGATTTTCACAACTTTACTTTTCTTTTTGCAGTATTAACCCCTATTTATGCTTAGTCAGGGCACCTAAACCCAGCAATTAAGGCCATGAGACAAGCTTAGTCATCACAACTGAGCTGAGTTGATCATTGTCTTTTGATGCAACAGTGTTGCCCAATGATGCACAATCAGCCTTTTATGTATGATAATGACACCCAAGGACAAAGGGCACAATGAACACAGTAATGCACAATAAGTAGTAGTATAATTAGTTTGAACTTGTACAGTATTTAAGAGGCTTGCTCTTGCTGGTAATCTCCAGCTTTGAGCTAAAGTTTATTCACACACTATTCTATACTCAAGCCAACCCCAAAGGCCTTGTGACACACCAATCAGAATATGCATCAGTGAACTCAGTTGATCTCCCAAAGTGTGAGGAGACTTCTGTTTATCATGTGTTTCTGTTCATGTGATGCTTGGGTCTGACATCATGCATGAATGAAGGATAGTTTCATCAAAAGCTACAAGTACCAGGCCTGTACACTCTATGGCTGAAACAGCATCTTTCCATCAGGGTTCCTGACTGTCTAAGCTGATATTCTGGAGCCTATAAAACTGACAGAGATTTCCAATAAATTTCAGTGAATTCACCTTGCAAGAGAGCATGTTTGATGATCATAAATCTCTCATAGGAAGAAAGATGTCTCTGCTGAGTTAGCCAGTAAAAAACCAATTCCACAGCTTTTAGAGCATGATGAGAAGGAATTGAACTACAAATTAACCTCATCTACCAGTGCAGTAACACACTCAGAAAGTGGGATTATGTTGATCAGTGTTTTCTTTAGTACACTGCAATAGCTGACTGGTATTTAAAGAATTACATCCACCTATTTCTATTTATCACCACATTCTTCACTTTCATGCATTAACCTAAGTCCAGACATGAGAAAAGGATGAATTTGTTGGACAGTGGGCTGGTTCATGTATCATTTCCTATAAACATCTTTATGCCAGAATTGAGGACAGACTGTTGTTTCTTGGGAACATCCATTGTTGAATTCAGTGCCAGGCCAAACTGCAAATCTTCTCAGTCCCATCTTATAACATGAATCCCTGTGCATTTGGGAACTTTGTGATGAGATTTGGACATTCAGAACACTGATGGTAAAGGGCAGAATTTGATCTGATGATGAAGGACCTCAGTGGGAAGTGGTACAAACATGAGACTGCCCTCTGAAAGTGCTGTGCAAGTTCACTGCTATCCAGATAATGCTTCTGCTTCCTCTGGAGCCTGAACTGTACTGGAATTCATCATGTAATAATTCAGTGAAGAGTTCTGAGATGTTTCATGCCATGAAAATGCATAAGGTCATCCTTGAACCAACATCCATCTTCTTTCCTGCTCTCACCAAGATTTTTTGAGAGAGATCCTTGTACATGGACAGGTTAATGCAGCTGAAGGATGGCCCCTCCTCAAGTCTTTATGTGATATGGAAGACTTGGTGTGAGTCTTTTTATTCTGTATTTATTCATTTGCTCATTCTCATGTGCAGTTCATATCTCTCAAATTGCATACAGTGCAAGAGTTCCCATTGAGTTATCGGGAGAAGACGAGTCGGTCTCAAGCTACGCTTCTCAAAATGCGATTACGTTGATTATACACCGTAATTGGCGCCAACGTAACTGGTTTGTGATTGGTTTGTATGTTTATTGTCGTCCCTTAGGTTGTTATAGTCGGGTGAAAGATCTCCCTATTGAACCCTACGAATGATAGAAGCATGGACGCCGTTTTCGACAGGTAAAGTGGTCCCCCCCTTTTCCTGATCTATGTTGTAGTGCCCAAGTTCATCCAAAGCTCAAACTCGATGTCGTATTCTTAGCACGTGGCTTCTTACGCCACTTGCACCCTACACTGCATTTAGGATACCCCTTATAGCGGCTCCGACGTTGTTTATGCTCAGTCGCCTATGGCACTGCTCTGGTGTCCCTTCTCTCTTTTCACCGAGCTAGACTTGGTTATGAAAGAAGGAATTTAGGTGCATCCCTCAGACCGAACCCTAATATGAAGATGTAGTAATGACTTTCCTGATTCATTCTCCCTCTGTTACCATTCCAAGAGCATCCGCAGGATGACAACGTTGAAATTTGACCAAAAGGTACTGGTGCGTTGGTGATTTACTAAGCCAAGCAAACATGTGGCGTATCTCGTAGCCCATGTCCTCAAAATGATTCGGGACAAATATGGGTTACGCGGTGTAGATCGTCGCTGGGCCAGTTTCTGCGTGGAGTTATTGTCTGACTGTCCCTCACAGATGACGCATCCGTGTCGTCAATGCACCCGGCTCCATTCGTCCAGGGCTTCATCCATGCGGGCAACCCTCTTCTCTCTAAACCTTTGAGTTACTTGGGTCAGACTTTCCTCATTAGCGTCAGTCTTGGTTCACGCAATAGGAACATGAGTATCGTTTGGTTCTGCTCTCTTCGGTACGCTAATCGAATTAGATGCAGACTGGAGAGCTCCAGAACTAAGAATCAGAAAGTTTCGTATGAACACCTGGTCTATTCTGGTGCAGAGGTGAAACCGTGGACCATCCACGGTGGGATCCTGTACTTTCGCTGCGTAATTCCCGCAAGATTATCAGTTACCGGCTCGTCAGGATAGTCGTTGACAAGGACAACGGGAGCGCTTATTTCTTCGGTAGGTCCATAGTGATGCCGGATCCAGGGTTTCGAGTCAGAGGCTTTAGAATGGCCCCATGATACGCCTCGTGTTGTCTACCGCTGAACATTCTCGTCTCCCCCGATTGCGAAAACTGGTCGAGAAATTGGCTTCTTATTTGTTTTTTGCTATAGTTTCCGGCCCTATGGTTACGTCACCTCAATCCCTCGTCTCCTGAAGTTGTCCCGCTTTGCCCTTGATCTAGCGATAACGGCAAAGGAGCCTGCTTTACGATCCAACCTATTTAGGTCATTCCCCTTGTTCAGGTGATTTAGTCATCGTTGCAGGCTTCGTTTTTGAATATAACGACAGTTTACACATCCTCTTCAACGATCAGGGTCAGATCTTGACAGCATCGCCTGGACCACGGAGGCTTACACATCGTTAAGATTGGGCTCGTCTTGGCTTACATCGCGGCGTTTAACTCGCGTAACTGAGCAGGACATACGAACCAATAAAGAAAAGTGATCGTCGAAGGAACTTCTGTCTTATCTCGCTTGTCTTTTGATGCTAGACAACTTTAGATCATTGATTCGAAACGCGTGTTCTGATTCTCGATTACTTCATATACCCCGATATGCCGAAGGATATAAAATGCACAGCGATCCCAATTTGACTTTCATCTACGACTACCTTCACTCTCAACGACGGCAATGTCCAGCAGTGAAGAGCAAGCGGAGCTTATCTACGAAGCGTTGGATGGATATCTGAATTCGCTATGTCTTGAATCGCTAATGCATGGTGAGTTGTGTCTTTCGAAGACTGCTTTTAGCCGTTCTGACTGCTCGAAATCAGGGTTGTACACGGCTGTTCTGCTTTCCGGCCTCACGAATATGCGTAAGGGCAATTCTCATACTATGTCGTAGTCGCAAATTTACCAACATATTAGTGTTCAACAAAAGAGGTCGCAACCGATTGTTCATGGTCGCGATTATCGCCGTGCTCTATAGCTTCGAAACCGTTCACTTGGGAGTCCGATGGTATTGGGTACGACAAGCGTTCATCGTCAACGGGGATTCAAGGACCACGATATACGAATCCTTCCTGAATGCAGACTATCGTTGGATGTGGGCCGTGAGCGGGGTCTTTGCCAGCGTGAATATACTGATAGCGGACTGTGTCCTGGTACGTCCCTTGCTTTCCCAGCCCATTCTCTTCATCTTCTCACCGACGTCAGATTTGGCGCGCCTGGGTCGTCTGGGATCGCAATTTCAAAATCGTCGTCGTCCCGATAATCGGAGCCATCCTCGAAATCAGTCAGTTTCCAACCCGTTTCGTCCACCTTTTGGCCGCGCTCACCTCGTTTCATTTTAAGTTTTCGACGGATTCTTTCTGTATCAAGATATAGGTCATACTTCCAGCTCTTCATTGAGCAACTGGGGACCGGACGCTGTGGATTGGGGCATCGCATACTTTACGATGTCGCTGATCACCACCGTTCTCTCGACCTGTCTTGTGGTATTTCGAATTGCCACAATGGGCCGTGGCGCTAACCATGCCGTCTCGCTTCGGTCGTACAGAGGGGTTATCGAGATTGTCATCGAGTCTGCTGCGCTGTACGCGGTGTCTTTGATCATCTTCCTGGCGTTTTTCGCCCGAGATGACCCCAGGAGCGTGTATCCACAGGCAATCTTAAATTCTGTTACGGTGAGTCGTCGGATTTTTTTTTCTTCATAATCTCGGCATTTCTCTGATTGACGTATCTTAGGGCATTGCGCCGACGTTGATCGTAGCGAGGGTGGCGTCTGGCCGGGCACGCCCTGACGAGAGTTGGGCGACTAACTCTTCGGCGACGGTTACTTCGTATTTCAGTCGTCGGTCCCGAGGCAACGACAGGATATCGTTACCGCTGAACATCACCATGAAGACGTCGACGGATGTTGCCCTCGATGTGATAACGGATAAGGATTTGGCCAACTGGAAGGTTCATGAGCTCCCTGGCGATTCAGCCAGCGGTCGTATACGCCACTAGAGGCTAGAGCTTTCGGCAAGCAAAATGTTAAATCTTTCTGTACTTAACAACCTACCTTCCATTCATTTTGTTCTGAGTAGTTCGAGACGCTCTCGCTTACTTTGCCATTCTTGAGCGCTCTATTCTGCGGGAATTCTTTCCGCAGTCATTGTATGTACAAAGTAGGCACATATACCTCGTCGTTTGACGTCGTGTTTCAACAGACCTTTTTATTTGTATCCATATTTTCCCTTCAAAATACTTGTTTCGATCTCAGTACATCATTTATGAAATCTGGTGCCCAGGCGTTGGACGACTGATGTCAAACTTTCTTATATTAACTGGTACTTCAGGCTAGCTCGAGCAGGTACCGGATGACTACGGATCTCGCCGCAAGCTCTGATATCGACACCCCGCACTACTGCACAAGGAACAACCAAAACCAACACAAATCTGTTGTCATAGATATCAAAACTGCTAGCCACTGCGGTAAGTCCACCGACGTCGGCTCGGACTTTGACGTTTGGGTCAACTTGATGCCCGCGAAATCCTGAGGTACTCACAGTCATCCCCTGGGCGGCTCATTCCGATTCCCCGTAGGCCAGAAAAGCCCGTCTAATATCAGAATGTATCTCGGTGAGATATTTCGCTCCCTGTTTCTGCGGATGCTCCTCGCCTTCTCAACAAAACAGAGAGTAGTTAATGTGCACTAGGACTCGTATCATCAGAAAATAAAGGGTGGTTGTTTAACCATGAAAACGACCGAGAACAGGCTCAGTGACTATTGTGAAATGTTTTTTTGGAAATTCAACCCGCGACGATGTCTACCTTAAACGGTGATACATTTTCCCCGGGCATTCAATGGCGGTACAGAACCCCGGGGGGTCCTTATTAAGCTCTAAACTCAACTACAGTCACCCCCCTTATAACCCATAGCGCCGAATAATCTGAGGGAAATCCGCACTTTGGTAGACGGACCATGCTATGGGTTATGGGGGCTATGGGTTATGAGGGAGGCGACTGTACTGTCTCTCGTATCAAGGTTCGAGTCCATTGCGGCGTTAACGTTCCCAACTTTTCTCATTCCCCTCCGCTTGCAATCTTTATTCAGAGAGTTGTGCCGCGCCGAAAGAACCTGTTAGTCACGGTTAGAGATTCCACGTCTCGTTGAGGTAACGAGGACCACGGCTGTGATTGGTGGACCGTGAACCGTAAAGATAGATGGCCTTGTCGATGACGGCCGTCTTGTACCGTGACGTCGTCGACGAGGCACTGGATAGAGACGAGATAAGGGACTGATAGTACCAAAAATATCAGATTTTAATAAATTATGGAACTTGATGCACCTTTACGCTTACAGGTGTGCCAACAAAGGGGGGTTGAGGGTCCTACGTTGCCTAAATCCAGCAATATTTGCCCGGCAAAAAAGAAACACTCCCCTCCTTGTGCCTTACTAAGGTTCAAAATAGGCAACGCAGCCGACCCCAGTTATGCCTTACGTTACTTCTACATGGGGACGGCCCCCACGAAATTGATTTTTCAGTTTCCGTCATGGAAATCTCTCAGTCAGACTCCTGGCGCTAAATCGATCTTTCGGGTTTCCTTGCTTCATTATTCGAACGAGAGGAAGAGGATTCTTCCAGACTGACATTAATTCTTCTGTATCCAGGCAGTTTGGTGCAGTGGTAGCGCTCGGGACCCATATCATTGTTCGAATCCCCGAAAGTCACTTGGTCGAACAAGTTGCTGCTAATAAAGTCATGTGTTTGTCACCATGTTTTTTATGCTCGCTGCCCCTTTTAATATTATTCAGGCTACTCTCAAGAATTAATGGTCTTCAATCGGAATCGATACACCTACATGTAATGCGATGACTTTGGTCCTCTGGGCAGTTGTCTCCCTTGGCGATGCGCCTCTCGCATCTGGGTTTTCATATGACATGGGTCACCTTTACCATTAGTAGCCTTGTAGCCCCATTATCTACTGATCCTTCCATATCTTGGATCTCTGTTACTGTTGCCCCTAGAGCTACCACCGAAAGTCAGTTCGATCTATGTACCTTCTCTCGAATGCTGAGGTTAAGTTCAACTTTTTATGCTGGGCCTGAACTATTTCCCTAGAAGAAAATTTTCAACCAGAATTGCAAGTGAACACACAACGCGAACTACAAGACTCGAACTTGCATCTCCCCAAGGTTCGCGACTTGACTAATTATTTATTGCTCCATTACAAAATCTCGATAACAGGTTACTTCATTCCACATGGACAGAAGAGCAATCAAAAAGTATACCCCCTTGCATGGCGCTGTTACGAACCGTGAACTTTGAGGTTCAAACCCAGTCCCGAAGATATGCTTGGCCATTGCGCAAGCCAGTTGTTAAAAGGGGGGGCTCAAATATTCACCGAAACAAGATCAACACGACTGTAATTGTATTTTACATACATCTATAATACAAAACGACAATGTAATTACTGACTCTTCTCTAATGCGTTAACAACATCCGTGATGAGGTCATCCCCATCCTCAATGCCCACACTCAGTCGTACCAACCCACCGGATATCCCGAGCTTCCGGCGCTGCTCCTCCGGCAATCCAGAATGTGTCATCCCAGCCGGATGCTCCGCGAGACTCTCCACACCACCAAGACTCTCAGCGAGCGTGAACAGCCTCAGCTGCTCAAAGAACCGGCCCGCCGCGGCGTAGCCACCATGAATCCTAATCGAAATCATGCCTCCATACGGGAAATCAAAAGCATCTGCCGAGGTATCTGTCGTCCTGCTGATCCACTTCTTCGCGTGAGCACTGACGCCTCTCCATGCGACAGCGTTTCGCTTGTGGGTAGCCAGACCGGGGTATATCACCTCCTCGACCTCTTCTCGCTGTTGAAGGACCTTGGCCAACGCTAGCGCGTTCTCGCCGTGTGCGCGCATCCTCACGCCGAGGGTCTTGGCACCCCGTATAGCCAACCAGGAGTCGTACGCGCTCGGGACAGCGCCCATGGCGTTTTGGAGGAATCGTAGTCGTTCGATGAGCTGGGTATGATGAGGGGGAACGATGACAGCACCCATGACGACGTCCGAGTGACCATTAATGTACTTTGTTAATGAATGAAGGACAAGGTCGGCTCCGAGGATAAGGGGAGACGAGTAGAAGGGGGAAAGGAATGTGTTGTCGACGAGAACTAGCGGTTTGGACGGATGCCGTCGGGCGATGGATACTATCGCTGGTATATCGACCACACGTAGTGTAGGATTCGTAGGTGTTTCAATCCATATCAGCTGCAGAGAGTGATGAGTATACATACCAGGACAAAAATAGACGAGTCGAACTTACCTTGGTATCATCTCTTATCGAACCATAAATCTCCTCCTCAGCCGCCTCTTCCAAATCAACAAACGTCGTCTCAACGCCCTGGAGTTCTCCTGCTACACGCTTCAGGTATCTCCAAGTTCCGCCGTAAACGTCGTTCACGCTGAGGACGTGCCCGCCCTTGCCTATCGCTGCGAGTACTGCACCAGTCGCTGCACTTCCGCTGCCAAAAGCGAGGGCTGCACCTCCCCCAGCCTCCAAGCTTGCCAGGAGCTTTTCCAACGCATCTCGATTGGGATTTCCGGACCGGCTGTACTCGTATCCCTTGTGGACGCCAACTGAGGACTGGGCAAATGTCGTAGACAGGGATATAGGAGGAATGACGGCGCCAGTGTTGGGATCTGGTTCAGAGCCGACGTGGATAGCCAGGGTGCTGAATCCGTCAGACTTTAATGGTGATTTCCAGGTTGCACGCTCCTGGTGGTCAATGCCATTGCTGTGGCTGTTGGTGTGCGCAGCGTGGCCGCTGCCGTCCGCATGATGATAATCCATTCCAACCGTCATGTTGGTCGTGGGGGTTGGTCTAGTAGTGTCTTGCTAACAAGAGGTCCATCGCTGTTGCTTTTATTGCATGGATTCGCAATTATTCGTCATCCTTCCTACCGTGCTGAGTCAGCCGGTGACTCAGTTTCGTTTCAGGGTTCGTCATCCCCGACATGGATTGCGAGAGCGCCGGTGGCCGCTTAGTAATGAAACCGGGGTTTATTTAAGAAGGCCTAGGGTTAGGGTTTAAGATATTGGGCACTATCTTCGGTCATAGCGATCTACGAAGACCGAGCTTCATTCTGTATCTTGGTCAGGTCGATGGCCTGTTGAAATCGGTCACATTTCCGGGTCGCAAAATTCTGTGGAACAACATTAGCTTACAATTGACATTAGCAGACTTCACAAGACAAAGCTAACAGCCATGGAGGAGTGCGTTTCAGCCCGTAAAAAAGAAAACGGCAAAATGTTAGCGAAGCCTTTCTAGGCCCTAGCAAAACTTCCTCCCCCTATGGAACAGTGGAATTAATGTACCTTTTCATTGTACAGTGCTCAGACCAAAGGTGCAAAAACTGAAGTAGAAAACGAAACCTTTCAAGGTCCCATTTTGGACTATCGAATACGCATCAGCCTTTGCAATGAATATGATTAATAGTCGTGCCTACCACCAGAGACTGGGGAATTCTCAGTCTGCACAGCTTCAGGTTGGTTCAAATCTAAAATTAGAGTGTAAGTATATGTAGGGGCTAAGTTGGGGAATCAAAAGTACTACCTTTTGAGTATGTAGACTGACTACGTTTCAGTGGACCACTTGCAGTATGTTATGTCTCAGCAAAGACGTGAAAGAGTGGAACCATGGCGCGATGAAGGCATAATGAGACCAAACTTAAACCTCTTAGGTGCGGCTGGGGAAAAAAGAAAAAACAAAGACGGGAACGCGTTATTCTTTTTCGGTGGGGACGGAAGCAAAGTCAAATAATCCTAGATTGAAACTCGGCTAAGTCGGCACTTCGCAGCATTGATGCCGTTCCGATTTGCGCACCATGGGGGCCCATCCCTTGAATCTGAAACCGCGATTGGGTGGGCGCGTAACATGAACAGTGCAGCTGCATTTCTATCTTTTTACCACCGGCATATGCACCTCGCCCTTTAACATTCTCTTCACCCTTCTCCACGTATCGTTGTATTCAATTTATTGTTTGCAGGCTTGTTCTTTCACAACGCGCTCTTCTTCGGAACTGGCTGGACTTGCATAATCAGCCTATATAAACCGTCGAGCATGCACTTCTCGATCTGGATTCAAATGCCAGTACCGTACCGATGGGGCTGGAGTAACTCTGTTTCCTTTTGTGGTAGTTTCCCCGTTACTGGGTTGCTCATATTCAGTGATGGGGAGAAGTCCTGAGGTGCACATTTCACGAGCGTAGCAACGGGCAACCATAATGGAGTCATTCCGGGGGTGAGCCAGCGGTATGTAATACACAACGTCCGGAGTCCATTGTTAGCAAACATCTCCATGTCCTTGCTCATCTGTTCTTTCAGCACGGGTCATGGTCTTGTGCAAGGCGTGCGTAAATACCATTATCTCCCCCCTTGCAGTAAAGGATCAACCGTCCATCTGGACATCGGAAAATCGTACTCATTCGTTTCCTCGTGCTGTTGAACTCGAGGACGTTTAAAAGCGTGTACTTCTCCGGCTGGCCCATGACTTGTATGTCAAAAGTATCCTTCGATTTCTTGACCAAGGTGAACCCAACACCTCGCGCGGAGGCCACCAACGCGGCCCCGTCCTGCGATTCAGCCTTGTAATCCAAGTGACACTGTAATTCCTGGGGCTCGGGTTTGTGACCGTTTGTCGGAAAGGGCTGTGTGACACAAAGCGAGCGCTCGGACGAAGGCGATGAGGTGACCCAGTTCCGTTATTCAGACGAACGGTCCGCCAAATGCTGCGCGAGTTTAGGTGACACCAGAGCCAGCTTTTCCGGCTGAAGGTACCGGTTCTTAAAGGTGCGTTCCATAACACTCAGCATTTGCTGCTTGATCGCTGTGAGTTTCTCCGTCAAGTCACGGGGATCAAGAGAGTCTGCATTGCCTTCTCGGATTGCAGCACCACGCTGCGCCTCCGTCACACCCTCTCCATATGCGATACCATGGACCGAGCACGTCTAGAATTTCATGACGTTTTGCGTGCGCGAACCAGTCTTGTCGGAAAACACATACTCGATCTGCCCCAAGTCATCGGAGATGTTCCATGTTTTAGGAACGCAAGGTGTGTTGTAAGGTTGGTAATACATATCCACGTCCTGGGAAATGAAGTAGGCCTGTATAGTCTTGGCGATTTCGGTAAAAATATACAATGATATAGGTACAATGTTTTGGAAAGCGATGAGACATGACCTTCATGGGGCATAATGAACTGTCATCCATGAAAGAAAACGATGAATACATACACAAATGTTATTATGGCGTTAAAGATTGACGAGTCTGTCGCCTCCGAATCAATTTCGAAAAACTCTGTGCTGGTGCCTGTTTGCGCATCCTGTACGCCATTGAAAATAACCGCAATGGTGCACATGAATACTACCGACGTTGACGATAACGTTAAAATTGGTCTCCTTCTCTATTTCGGAACGTTTCGATGGCGTAGAACTTCCGTTCACAATGATCTTGGTATCTGCGCCTGTAAAAATGACCTGCCCAATGATCCAAGTCGTATTACGGATTGCACATCCACGAAGGAGCATTTCATTGATCATGACCGACTCTTGCCTCTTTTCGCCCGTGACAGTATCCTTGTGGCGAAGAACACCATGGTAAAGATAGACGTTCTGGTGTGGTGGTTCTGAGTCAAGATAAAATGACGACCGCTCGATATTGTCTTCAGAGGCGATAGACGAAGTGGCTTTGATGGATTTTCGAGGTTTTAGACTAGTTTAACCGCCCAAGTTCTTTGTCTCCAAATAACACATGCCATCAGGATCTGATGTCGAGAGAACGACAATGTCAACAGGAATCTGGTCGTTCTCCCGTAGGAGAACAATGTCTCCAATTATTTGAAAGGATGCTGGGTATCAATCCACCGCGGGAAGTTACTAAAAGCGTACGCAAACTTCGTGACTAAGAGGCTAACGAAGCTGGCCATAGCGTTCGTGTCATGCTCAGCAAAACCAGCGATACCTCCACCGTCCTTTCGCATGACGATCCGTCCACCACGAGTTTTGATCTTGATCATGCACGCTCAAGTTCTGATCTGCAGTTGGATGATATTCAGAGCATCGATTCCTATAGTTACCCTCCGGACGTATCATCGCTTTCTGATACATCAACGCAGCGTAATTTAAATCCGGAAATTCAAGCGGACTGATGGCTCCCAATCTACGCTAGGCGTAATTGATTGGAAGCGGTGAAATGGAGGTTCTGCCTGTTGGGACAGCGTCGGGGGTCCGCTGGTTGGTTGACATTACGCCACGAGCCTAATTTTGTTGCCGCCAACGTCTTCACCTCTTCGTCGAGAGTCGCACGGCGATAGTCTTCTACAGCATCTTTGATGTCAGTGACGGTGAGAATAAATACAAGGGGTAGGACCGAGATGGCGCCCGATGCTGCGTCAAACACGGAGGAAGCTGCGGAGCATCGTTAGTGGTGTAGAGCATAAAAATGCGAACACGAGCGCTGACGTTGAATCACGACGAGGGTAAGGGAAAATAGGTTTGCTACCCAGAATAAACAGGCAAACGCGACAAAGAGGCATAGAAAGTACAATAACATACCGCCTAAATTGCTCGTATAAATTGGTAGTCCGGACCTTGTTTCTCTCATAGCGAACAATAGGTTTCCCGCTAACATCGACTTCCAGGACTCCCAAAGGATAATTTACATAGACATTCCTCGGCTCGCCAGAAGGTTCGAAGGCATAGTTCTGGATCAATAGTCTCGTCGTTATCTTCGTCGTATATTCGGATTCTCGCTGATTAGAACGCCGGAAGAAAGACATACGGTGGCCTCCGTGAGGCGATTTGCCAAGGTTTGACGCAAATTTTGGGTCAGCATTACCTGTGTATGTACTCTCGCTGGTACACCGAGAACGAGCACGGAAAATGAGGGCGAATAGAAGAAAATGAGGGTCCTAAACGAAGGTAAAAAGGGAAAGCAATGTACAGACGGCACTGGTCGCAGTGGTTGTTATTTCCGGTGCTGAATCATCATCGGCCATTGAGTTCTGCGACGACCAAGTAAATCTTAGAATTATTTCTCCACGACGAAATCTTGGGACGCAATCTTGGGACATGAAAGACGCAAGTTGTATTATTTGTAACCTATATACTGATTCAATGTCCAAAATGCAACAGTGGTGTCTAGATAGTTGCAAACATACGATTGTAACTTAGGTATTGTCCGGAGACTGTCAACAACCCACGCCTTTTAACTTGTTCAAAGAAAGCAGCATATTTAAGCGCCAATCTGTCCAGCTTCCACTTGGATGTCTCTACTCCTTCTCCACCCCACTCCTCCTGCGTTGTGTTGAACACGAGCTCAACCTTGCTCAATTCCATCTTCGATAGAACTGCATCGAGCTGTTTCCACTTTCCCGGACTCCCGGGTATGCCAATCAGGCCAGAATCCATCTTCAGTAGAATTGCATCGAGCTGTTTCCACTGATACGGACTCCAAGATATGCTAATCAGGCCGTACTCCAATTTGACCTCCTTTAAGCACCCCCCTTGAGCTTTTTGTAGCAGGTGTATGAGCCAATCTGTTAGCTCATCGTAGTATTTGCATGCATCCACCGGATGCCAGAGCCGGAGGGGGATCATAGACAAATGAAGCCTGGTAACATTTTGGATATGCAGAATGGGTCTGTTTGGTAGGAAGGCTCCCACTAGCAATAACTCATCCAGGTGTGTGTAAGGAATCACATCGTATTGTGGGATGTTCTCCACCGGGGGGTAAATTGGGTAGGTAAGCCGTCGAATACGAGGTGGGATGGAAAGGAGCGGGAGGAGGTACTTGATGGTATTCTTGCTCGATCGGCTGCAGATATGGGTAATCACTAATTCCTCAAGGTCAAGAGAAACTTCAGATGATGAGGATGTCTCTTCAACAATGTCTACGTGGTGTAGTGCTAGCTTGTTTAATTTGTGGAAGCCGCCGAGGAAGGTGCCAAGGTTCGTCACCGAACAGTATTTCATTTTCAATTCCTTGACTTGAGGACAGATGATATTAATGCCGACTAGTTTCACCTGGACAAGATGCAAGGATGTCAAATTCTTCATCATTGCAAAGACGATAGGCAGCTGTGGTTCAGAGGCGACCCATGTACTAGAGGGGGGATTGGACCAGTCGAGATTTTCGCTCAAGGTAAGAGTCCTTACAAGTGGCGCCACATTTTGGCACTTCCTCGAGAAAATTTCGCAGCGATTGAACAACCGATTTGGGAGGAAATCGAAGTGTATGGTGTGGAATTGGTGATAGCGGCTGCGGCAGAGAAGTTGGCGTGAGGACAATGCACAAGCTGTGAGAGAGGGAACATCATCGGAAAGAATGTCAACTATTAGATCCATGAGTTCTGGCGGTAATCTAGGTGTCGAAACTGCATGTTGCAGGATAGGTTGCAAGGTAATCATGGTGGTCATGGACAAAGTTTGGGGCAGGCAGGGGCTTTGAGGTCCATCTTTATAAATACCATGACTGTGACTTATGAGACAAAATTTTCATGTGATTAAGTGCGTTCCAGACATCTGAAAGTTTGACATTTGATTGATCAAAATTCAGAACATTCATGTCCACTCTGGTATACATTGGTAATAGTAGTAGCACATTTCACATCTATTGAGCCTCACAAGAAGGTATTGGAACACCTTGTAGTCAATGATAGGTGAATGGATGGATTGATTCATCTAGCTGTGGAAGGGGCACTCTATGTCTATGCTTCCCCTAAACAGACACATGCTACAATCTGAATCTGCCTCCACCTTCTCCTATCTGTGCTCCCATGTACCCCCTATTGCAAGATGACACCCCTACTGCATGGTGACACTCCAGTGCCTCTCTGCCACCCAATGGACCCTCTCCCTTGATGTGCTGGGCAACTGTACCAGGTAGAAACTGGAGCTCGCTAGAACGATATGCCCCTCCATAACCAGCTACCACACTGCTTCCTTCCCAGGTCCTTCCCCCAGGTCCCCAGCGTGCATTATATGCAGGATTCGTCATCTCCACCAACCTTGAGAATACACGCTTGAACGCAAACTGTTCATCTTTGCCTGCAAATAACAGTCAAGTACCAATCGTCCGGAAGGAAGGAAGATAAACATACCACAGAAGATGGATAGAGTTTCCAGTGGCGCTCGAGTTTCTTCCCGCTCACTGGCATCTGAGTGGCGGTATGAGATCACATTTGGACGATACTTCTCCAGGCTGACAGACTCTGCCAACATCACGTCCGTATTGTCTGTCCCGCGATCAACGTCAATTTGGAGACCGTCTTAACGGTCTTTCTTAGAGAATGTGGCGCTTTCGATATCGCTGCAGTATTTAGAAATCTAGCAAATTGCGGTCAGACCGACGTCCGATGTGAATGCGGGTTCACTTGTCTACTCGTAGGAGATCACGACTCATCAACGATTTGCAACTATCCTCTATTATACCCCTCACGCGAGCGAAGAGGGTCTCCAATTGGGGATCATATCCAGACCCTGAGTCGACGGTGAGGTTTAGGTTGACTCCGCAAAGTTCCTTCATTTGAGAGCGGGAAAGGGCAGCGTCCAGTGCTGACCACTGCGCCACTGAGGGAAAAGATGCCGATAAAGAGGAATCTGATCGTTCGACGTGAACCTTCAGATTTGTTGTGAACTCCTTCAACTTGAAGTTTTCGTCATCTGTGGAGAAGGTCTCTAGAAGGTCTCTATCCAGTATTTGAGTAGAGGTATACGGATCGGTTTCGCCGATGACGACTGTCAGATATTTAACATGACTAAGAGATAGAAGAAGGATGGGGTCATTGGCTGAGCAGCGGGGTAATAAGCACCGAGCCATATATGTGAAGGGTCAGGCGACTTACTGTGCTGTTGAGATTCAGCGTTGCCAAGCATCATAGGGCCAATGTATGCGCTGATGAGGGACTCGCGGGTTTGACAAAGAATAAGTTTGACGAGCTGAAGCTCGCGATTCGTCATGTGTGCAACGCGCAGGTGCTTCAAGTCCTCGAGAATTTCTGAGAGTCCTTCTTGTAGGAATGGCATCGCTGAATGAATGAAATTATAGTAGAACCGGAGGTCCAATGTTTCGAGACGCAATTCTTGCGGTGGTGAAGGGAAAGCAGCCAGTATCGATTGAGGAAACGAAACGAAACCGAAAGTTAGATATTTGACAGAGGGAAAGGCGCATAGCAAGGTGTAAAAGTCGTCGGCACTTTTTATACTCATGGCGTCAAAGGTGAGACGCTTTATGTGTGGCTGGGATGGGAAAACGGAAGAGAGGGAAATAATGCCTGTCAGTTGAGGAATCTTAGCGTCTTCAATGACGAATTCTCGACATTGCCAAGAGCTTTAAAGACGAGATGAGTCGTATTTTCGTTAAATATCCAGTCTGCAGGGACCAGGGATGTTCTGCCACAAAATTTAATCGTATGGATCATAGATAGAAGGCTGGGAGAAATTCCGAACAAACTGAGGAGTTCTTTGAGGTGCAAGGGGGAAGAAACGATGACATGACGGAATAGATGCATCCGTGCACGCTCTGCAAAGCAGTGGGCCGAAGATAAGCAGGAACGCAGGTATTTCTCGTCTCCTTTTAAGAAGTCGACAATCACGTTGACAAGTTCTTGCGGCAGCATGGACATGGCTGCTTACTCAGAGGTTTTCTGTGAGGCTTAGAGACACTGAGCCAAGATAACATAGTTTAAAAGGTAAACTTACGGAGCGTCAATGAGCCGCGTTGTCCAAATAGAAATCACCTGTCGCCGTTGAGAGCAGGATGGCAATGCAGATTGCCTACCCGGAGCCGCGGTATCTGCCGGCTTCTATCCTGGATCCCGTGACCCTTCAATCAGGAAAATTTTCCGTCGTTATCCCGAAGAAAATCAGGGAAAACTCTCTTCCCAGTCCACCATGTCAGCTAAATGTCAGAACGCGTCTGATGATCATGTTGACTTGTTTTAGCCTATATTTACGCGTGAAAATGCGTCCACTTATTGTCCGAATTTTTTCTTCGCATACTTTGTATAAGCGGCAGCTTTGGGTGACTCGTCACGATGGTGAAGATTCTCCTGCTTTACTTCCACATTGCACTATATCATGTCTTGTTTCCTACGGCTACATTTTCATAGTCAAATCGGTCTCTTTATGGCCGACAGGATTCATTGTCGTTCAAGGAACCCGACTGACCTCTCAGAGATCCAGCCTACTTGAATGCCAAGTCAGTATTCGATACGTGGCAAGAGAAGTTGAGGTCGGAGACTCAGACCGGCTAAAGTCGCGTTAATGATTTGGGTGGGTTTTCACACGGACAGTTATGGACACCATCGATTCAAGCGATCTGTAGGCTGGGCATACGAGGTGGTTCCGGTGCTTTGCTTCTGAGGAAGCGTTATAATGATGCGGTTTAGCCATCAGTTACATGAGGTAAGCAATTCAACTCATGATTCCTTGCTTAAATATGCAGTAGTCTCATTAGGTCTGAATTTCCCACCTCTGCAGTTCTTTGATTCGCACAGCCATTTCTATCTCAGCCAATTGGACCATCGCGGAACCTTTGATTCCTCCGTCTCACACACATAATCAAATTATCTTCTTGTTTGCTGACTACTTGTATCTCGACTTCGAACTGGCATCATGACTACTCCCATTCTCGCAGGAGCTCCGGGGGAATGCTGCTTTACTGCAGTTAAGCACGAAGGGACACCTGCAGGGAGGATCGATACCATTACTGGTGTGCCGACCTACGTTTCCGAGCCAAAGTCCCCTAAGACCACCCCAAAGCCGAAGGTTGTGCTGTTCTTTGCTGACATTTACGGCCCTCTGTACATCAACAACGAATTGGTTCAAGACTATTTTTCTTCTCAAGGTCTGTTTTCTTCATATGACTTTGGAAAGTTGGCGATAACAGCTATCGATAGGATTTTTCGTCGTTGGGGTCGACTACTTCCTCGGAGACCCAGTTTATATACACACAGAACCGGACTTTGATAGGCCGGCATGGATAGAAAAGTCGAAGCAACAGGCGAAAGAGCTAATGCCGCCATGGATGGCCGCCATCCGGGAGAAATACGGTAAGTGGTCATTGTTGAGCTCTTTTAATCTTACGCAGTTGAACAGGTCAGGATGCGCAGTATGCAGCCGTGGGGTACTGCTTCGGAGGTCCGTTCGTTTTGGATCTGGCGGCTCGTGGAGATATCGTGGCTGGTGAGTGTGAAACAGATACTTCTGGACATTCTTTCACCGACGCACGGATTGCTAGGTGCTATCGCGCATCCAGCATTCCTTACTGAAGACCACTTCAAGAATATCAATAGTAAAGCCTCATTTCTGTCTTTCTCATATCCCAGGACTGATGCTTCTGGTTTCAGAACCTCTATTTCTATCATGCGCGGGCACGTATCAATTCTTATGGTTTTCTTAACTCACTTCAGCTTACCACCACCACCAGAAATCGATCATACCTTCCCGCTGGAGTCTCGCCGGCGCGCTGAGGATATCCTGATTGAAAGAAAGACCGGCTATTGTTTCCAGGTCTTTTCGGGAGTCAAACATGGTTTTGCTTTGAGAGGCGATCCCAATGTCGGCGATACTCGTAAGTTTCTTTGAGTTTATGAAGCAATTGCATCGATTGAGATGATCAACAGGCTGGGCAAAGGAAGAGTCCGCACGAGGCATTGCTAACTGGTTTCAGCGCTTTTACGCTGAGGACTTGCAGTTAGCCAAATCAGAGTTGTGACAATCTGTAGTACAGAAGGTACCCGCTAAGGCCAGTACTTTGTGAGGAGAGAAGGAGTTGCTATGGACAACGAGATAAAATACGGCGATAAGGCTTGAAATCAATATACATCATATCTTTATCGTGTACTACAGAAAGGCATACAGTGTGCATCAATCCACGACATTAGATGCAGGAATGGTTCTCCAGTGTCATACATAGAATGGCCCATGTCGCTGCACCGTGCGCGCATCTCCAGCAGCCGAAGTTCGTCGGGTCGTCACGATCGACCAGGATGTTATGCAGTGAGTAGTCCATGTGGGACAGGACGATCTGCTCGTGGTCAAGAATCTGAGAGTCAAGCAAATGTGATTTCTGCACGATGTCGATAGCGGTTTCCCGCCACTTGCGTTCCTGCTCGTGGTCGACGTCTGGTGGAATATTTCGAGTGGGGGATAGTTTGCCGTTAGCCACAGCTACGAGCCACTGTCTGGAAGATGAAAATGGGCCAGATGTTGCAGCCTCTGGGGATGCGAGAGTTCCAGCTTGTGGAATGTAGGTCATTGGACCAATAAAATACCGATTTTCTGATTTTTCTTGATGTTCGTATATGCTCCCGATGTATTTGAAGCGTAATCGAAGAAGTTGGACCATGTGTCTGCTACAGATATACACAACGTCTCCCGCTGATCATCCGTAAGAGACCTCCACAGACGCGCGGAGTTGTCACCGTCAATCTGAAGAGAACATTAAATTTGTCTCGCCCCGAAAAAAAATGCGATACTACCCGTACATATTTCATTAGCATCCATTCTCCGCCGACCTTTCTGTCCTAGTGGGGATCATAGACCAGAACATCCGGGACCGGGATGGTTCTTTGCTTCTTCACGTAATTCATTGTGGCTACCTTGGAACATTATTAGCTCGGTTGGACAGACAGAAGAACGTGGGGCACCTCTGAGCGCATCTTAAAATCGGATAGTTCCTTGAATTGTCGGGTACAGCCATCTCACACCGATGCCCAAGCCACGCGGAGCAAAAGTCCACGGTGCAGCGATGAATCCACCCTGTAAATTTTCATGTTTGGAAATTCGGTTATTAAGAAAATTCTAAAAACTGCGTGAACGGACCACATGGTTAGATACTTTCCATGACAGGACAAAGTCAGTCAGGTATCTGGAAGAGTTTAGTCGAAATAAACACACATGAGGCAGGGGAATGAAGAGAAAGGGTATCGTCTTGTAAGTACCCTTGAATCCTGGACTTCATGGCATCTATGTTGATATGATGCCGCATTGAGACTGATTTGTAACCACGCCTATCCGGCGAGCTGGGCTGAACTTGAAGGTACACCAGGGTTGATGTTTACACTCCGCAACAGGGCCTGTTCCTTCCGATCGGTCATCGGTGGTCAGATCCAGAAACGGATCATGTCAACTTCGTTCATCAAGTCCGTCGTCACACTGGCCACGGCGTTTCTAGTAGGAACGGCTCACAGCATCTTTTGTAAACAGCTTGAGGGTTCCAACATGATGCCGGGGCAGATTGAGCACAACATCGTGATTTTTGTCTTTACTTTAGATTCCCGAAGTGCAAACCCGGTCAAAAACAAGGGTCGAAGAAAATCATTGGTTCATTTGGGGGTCTCCGGGTAAGTCTGTCTCTAACAACCGAAGGCTGAGATTTTGGATACATCCACCGCCCATATCTCTTCAATAGAAATATAAGGCCCAGTGAATCGGTATGTATCAGGGAGATTGTTCAGTATCTTCGCCACGAACTATGGTAGTTATTCTGACTTCGGGAATCGGAATTGCCGCTTCAATTACATTCGGTCATGATATCGGTTACGCAGCCCAGATATATTCAGAAGTCAAGCACTAATGAAATTTATCGAAAATATAGCGACATGAATTACGACGCTGCATATGAAATTATGAATGCATAGACATTGAAAGCATGTCCTCAAGGCTCAAAGAGCACAGCCCCTTGTTCTGGAGCAAGGAGCGCTGTTCTATTACGAAATATTCAATACGTGCTGCAATATCGCATTAAATATAATATCAAGGCTAAATGATAGAGATTACTCACAGGTGAACATTATTCACCATTCTGTGGACGGTGCGCTATACCATTCAACGAGGCTCCAGTAGGCTCCGTAGTCCTTGCCGGGCTAGAAGACCGACCGTGAGGAGGCGGGAATGATCATAATGGAGGGGAAAATATACCTCTATGTGTTCATTACTGGTATCTAGACAACAAACATTGAGAAAGATAGGCTCCACTAAGAAATAAGACTTACGAGCCCTGATGCAGATAAATTTCCCCAGGCGCGCAAAGAAAGGATTATAGGAAACGATGACAACGGCAACAACGGTATCGTTGAGAGCGTAGAGCTTTGCGCTTTCCCAACTGGGAGTGATGGGAGCACCAGACCCAGCATCAGACATGACGAATCAGGAAATCGTAGTTCTGGATCAGGAGGCTCGGGATGTCGATTAACTGAGAGAGGTTTGTCGAAGCGAAGAAATAAGTTGGACAAGGAAGCATTTTATATCTGGTGGCATACATCAAGGCGAGCTGGTTTACCTTTAGAATTTACACAGAGCTTATTCCATGGACTGGACGCTGTGAAATTCAACATCGATGTCATCTGTTTGTAGTTCCGACCGGAAGGAGCCAGCCAGTTGCGGAGTGTAAACTTCGCGTCGACCCTAGCGTGCCTTGAACCGTCCCTCTCAACCGACATAAGTCGCTCTGGTAGGCGTAGCTTTAGATCGCCGGGCGCCTTCAATGTCCCACCATATTCACATGGAAGTCTTGAAGTCTAGGATTGAACGATACTTGAAAGACGATACTTTTTCCCTTCATTCGCAACGCTCATGTACGTTCATTTTGCCTATATTCGATGTGGTGGTTTCCTGCTAACCTACAGAAAGTCGCTAACCATGTGGTATCTTTACGCGTTTTTGAGATTATTCAATAAGCTAACGTTCAAACATGAAGACTTATAGAGTCGATTCATCGCTTCATGGTCGGCTTTTGCTCCGTGTGGCTTGGTCATCAGTGTGGGACGACGGTACCCGACAATTCAAGGAAGTCTCTGATTTTAAGATGCGTTCCGAGGTACTTACTTCCATACTTCTATCTAACGGCGCTAAAATTGTAGCAAGGTCGCTACAATGCGTTATGTGAAAGAGCATACCAGTATTCCTGTCCCAGACATTCTTGTTTACGATCCAGATTGGGACAGAAAAGTTGGAGGACAGTGGATGTTGATGAGATATGTGCGTATCATATCATATTTATGGTGACGAACGGATAATTTTAATACAGATTGACGGTGTCAACCCCACCTTATTATGGAGGTCTCTTACGGATGAGCAATGGGAGACACTGTGTACATCAGTAGCGGACATCTGGTCCCAACTTCTTCGATTACGCTTCAAATACATCGGGAGCATATACGAACATCAAGAAAAATCAGAAAATCGGTATTTTATTGGTCCAATGACCTACATTCCACAAGCTGGAACTCTCGCATCCCCAGAGGCTGCAACATCTGGCCCATTTTCATCTTCCAGACAGTGGCTCGTAGCTGTGGCTAACGGCAAACTATCCCCCACTCGAAATATTCCACCAGACGTCGACCACGAGCAGGAACGCAAGTGGCGGGAAACCGCTATCGACATCGTGCAGAAATCACATTTGCTTGACTCTCAGATTCTTGACCACGAGCAGATCGTCCTGTCCCACATGGACTACTCACTGCATAACATCCTGGTCGATCGTGACGACCCGACTCGCGTTATCGCAGTGGTGGACTGGGAGGGCACACGAACCGTTCCTATGTGGGCTGCCAATCCGACTTTCCGATGGCCATTCTTACTTTCAGATTCCAAAGTCAGCCACCTTCGACAGGTAATGAGGGGTCGTATAGCGAGCCAGGTACCCGGATGGGAGTTCGCAACCGGGGACAGCTGCAACGCCCTTCGTTTGTTAGAAAGGCGAGCGGAGTGTAGTGATATGGATCCTTCGGTGTACGACATTGGGAAACCAGTCTTACACAAGATGTCATGGCTAGATGCGCGTTGTCTTGTTTTCTAGTAAACGGGAATCGCTAGACACATTCTGGCTTAGATCGCAGTGTCTTTGGAGTGACTTATGTATAGATGAGGGGTTGATACTGATGGCACATTAGATGAAAAATGACAGCGCCTGAGGCTGGCACAAGATATATTTAACAAATCTTCGACATTTCTAGTTATCGTGCTGTAGCCACTGCCTCCAATAACCTGACCGACAGAAGACCTTCAGGCCTTAACCGCTTGTACTGGAAGTTGAACCGTCAGTTGGACATGACATCAAGGATCAGAACGCACCGAGGTAGTGAAGAGTCATTCAAAATCGCGTGAACGGTCGAGGATACCGGCCAACGTTGGCTCCAAGCTTTCGGCCATATAACCAATTATGTTTTTCTAGGTACTTAGGCTTGATAACAAAGGATCTAGGTCCGCAATCCAGGGAAGACATAATGGGGTCCCAGGTACTAAAGCAGAACGTGTCTTGCACACGAAGAGAATGCCTATTACCCCGTGTCTGTAGTAGCTACTAGCAAATCGCCTATGCCGGCTATTTACGACATATTTGAAAGAAGTATGACCCAAACATGGCCTGGCCTTTGAACCTTGAAGCGTCGATGTTTTAAGGGTTAATTCAGGTAATGCCATGCCGCCCAGTAGATGATTTTAACACGTTTGCAATGGGTAAGTAGTCATGGTGTGCGTCCAGTACGCTTTCAGCTTGCATTGTGATTCTTGTGAATGATCGAGCCAGTTCAGATGGACGCGCTTCCAGTATCATCGTTATTTCCACCGGTCCACATATCATTGTTATAAGTTACTATTCAGGGAGAACAATGCACCACATTGTGAGGTACACTCCAGACTAACTGTTAAAGTCGTCAATGAAGGCAAATGAGACGGATATAGCATGAGAGCGACGTACCGTAACCTCTTATATATTCAAGTTTAGATTGGTCCTGAAACCGTGCCTTATGTCCCTCGCAACGCGCAGTCGGTCCACGCTCTGCACACCGGCGTCAGCCAGTGATAAGTAATTATCTGCCAGTCAATTTGAGAGCTGGACTAGAAGACCGGCATCTTGACCTGAGCCGAGCTGAATGAATCTTAGTTGGCCCTGTCGTCTATCATCCAGACAAACTCGGACTGCATTAATGTTTCAGTTTCTGCAGCGGATACTTGAGGCATACCATTGGAAAAATACTTCGACGATGGGGATCGTTCAGACTACAGAAGAATCCAGTGCCATATTGCGCCCAGAAATAGTGCTATTTTCTTTGGGATATCACATCGCCGAAGGCCAAATTGTTTGTGACTGAGGAGAATTTGATCTAGTAAGATCAAACAGCCCTTAAGACGAGTTATTGAGATATCCTCCGGTCTGCAGGAGATTTGAATTTATGCCACTTTTCCTCGTTGGCGGACAATAATATTACAGGATGTTCTCCGTTCTCCGTTCTCTTCAGACACAAGGGGGGTATGAGCAGTAATGGACCAGTAGTGCCTAGGCTTGCCAGCCATAATAGGGTATCAGCTGGAAAGAGTCACTCTGGAAGAATCACGTCACTATTCCTCATGACACAGAGATGAAAACATAAATTATTGGGCTACGAGAAAGAGGAGAAAAATGCTGATATCTCACCGCATGACCCTCTGAAATCAACTTGAAGGTTACCACAGCGGTTTGACGAAGAGGAAGTAAGAAAGGAATGGCAATTTTCTATTACACAGAAGAGAAGTCTATGTGCACGATGAGCGGGGGGGATCGGAGCAGGCCGAAGTTACATCGTCGGCGGCCGCGTCGGTGCTAATGGATTTGCGCTAAAGCCGGCGGTGGCTGTGCTATTCTGAAGCGGGCTGACAAGTACTCGCAATCTTTTCAACAGTCGATCACGGACGGTCGCAACTCGCGACGTTGTTGACTCTGCCCTGTTATTCAGTCCCAATGTCCAAAGAAATTCCCTTCTTTTCATCGCTGTACTATACGGTCGTCTCGTGCTGACGGTTGGCCATTTAGCGCTCAGCGCCCACGCTGCCCAAGATGCGAGGCACGACTGAAAATTATGTTGGACTATATGCCGAGCGATTTAGGTTTTTTTTCTTTCAAGGAAAGGAAGCACAACGGTCGGACAGAAACGTGACAGTGGTATGCCTGTCGCTCGAGGAGATGTTTCGTTTAATCTCATCCATGATTCAATTCCTGGTAGCCTCATAGTGAGATTGGACAAACCTGTATTTACGCATTGTGATCATCAATCATCCCTAGTGGCTCTCCCTGTTTCTCAGCACGGTTCTCGATTCCTGCACCCGCTTAAAGTTGTATCTTTTCCAATACGTCCTTTTCTTTCTATATCACCTGCGCGAATGAAGGGGTATATTGAGATGCTGCTTGGATGGCTGATCTGATGAGAATGTTTGCAAAAATCTGCAATGTTAATGAACTGATCTTACACTAAGGAGCAGTAAATAGCGGTCGGAGACATTTTAGGAACGTAAGGTAATTTTACATTACATCTCCTGCTGGGGAGTGCACTGAGCATATCTGCTTGCACCCGTCACTGTTGTTGACTTTCTGGGTTTTACAGCGGCTCTGCTAATGCTAACCACATGTCTGCATTTACTAGGCTGCTCGCTGCAAATTTGTCAAGACGGAAGGTGCAGACGTGGACTTACACTGGTCCATGGACGAATACCGTGTCTACGATGTCTGATTCTCATCTGATTCTCACCGGAGACATTTTTGCCAATCTGAGATGCCAAGTCCCCCTTTCCTCGTATAAATACCCCCACAGAACCTTTTCTGTCTCATCACAGACATGAATACCACAGATAACCAACTGCACTTTATCAATATAACCAACACCTGTGAAGCTTCATCTTTCACTATCACTCTTCTTCCTGCAGAGATTTTCAATCCGCAGTACTCCACGCAGTGTGTCCAGACCGTCAAGCATAAGCGGAATCGTCTTGACCTATCTGATGAACACACGTACTGCCATATCTGTGGATGGACTTTCTTGCACAAGGACGCCTATGAAAAGGTAGGCCCCTTTTCTCATCATTGTTCTCTACTAACTGTTTCCCTTGCAGCATTTGTACGTATCGAAGTGCCATTGCCATTGTCAGGATTGCATGAAGAGGTTCCAGTCCTCCTCTTCTTTTCGGAGAGTACGTCCCTACTTAATTTCAATTGATCGTTCTCTGATGACATTGATCAGCATAGATGCGATTACGGAGAAGGTGATTGCGAGAGGAGCCCTGAATGGTCAGAAGATGAGTTGGCAATTATGCAAGAGCTAGAACGGAACCTGGGTGAGCCTGCAGTATTCGAAAACGTCGAAGAGGCTTGATGTCCCTGGTGGAGGTTGGCGATCTTGGTACGCCCGTTTTTACCTTACGTGTCACTCAGGTTAACGGTGGATCCCGTAGAATCTCAAGCCCTTACAATGCCAGCCTGTACCGAAAGACACTGTGAAGTAGACATGCCCGGCGTGCTTGTATCCGTCATCAAAAATGAGTGTGACTAAATGTGGGCACATATTCTGTCCATCGTAAGTTTTCTTCTGTTACGGCTCCATGGCGTGTAACTGATATTCATCGTAGATGCATCCGTCAGACTTTTGAAAAGTCAGGGATGCCCATGATGCCGAAAGGCTGACCGTCTTGGCTAGCCGCGAAAGATGGATTTGCATATACATTAATGCTTTTCAGTGGACGCTTATTTTTTTTGTACCTCTACCAAAGACTTTCTTTTGAATGTACCTCGTTGACAACATCGTCGAGTGAAAGTTTCAGTATCGGCCTGCCTCAACTATCGCTTGCAATCTCTCTTTCGACGCTGGAAACCTGGCGAAAACCTGGTCCTTGCCTATTAACCAGACGTAAGTCAATGTTTTTACTAAATTACATGCCTCTATATGACCCAAGGTACTAAATGTCCTTCCCCTGAATAAGTCGTAGGTCGCAGCGACTCCTTCATCTCTTGAAACTGTGGTATTCGACACGGGCAACAGCTTTAATGAAGGTCTAAGGTGTTTTGGATGTCTGTCAATTTTCATCCACAACCAGGGTTACCTAGTTAACAGGTTCTGCAGGCACCGGTGTTTGTAGGAGAAAATCAGGGGAGAGGCAATCTGATGGGCATGTGGCTGTGCTCCCAATCCTGGACATGACTTCCATCGCCTCGCCTTCGAAGATTGGCTAATACCTGCATTGAGACTGTATCGTCTTCTCTCCCGGAAAATCGAAGAGGCTTTTCATTCAGGAAGACACTGTAGGCGGGAAATAGTATCAGCCGCTGTTGACTTGACCTTGTTTTCACCTTGTTTTCTGAAACGTCCATTCTTAGGATTTTCCGCTCGCGGGTGACGATACTTATAGTCTCGACACTACGTTGGTAGTACCAAAGATTATCTACGTAGCTTGCACCTAATTGGTCCATAACGGCCCGCTGTTCCCACGATGCGGGGTAACCTGTCTCATGATGTCCTCGAGGAAGCTCGGACTGCTTCATAAATAACGGAATCGCACTGTACCACGCCCTCATGCTTCTTCCCTCCCACCATGGAGGTCATCCTCAGCCTGGCTCCGGTACCATGTCTTGCGTACGCTTACACTTTGCTCAAGTTCATATGGACCACAATCACCGCTTTGGACACTCTCAAGCAACAAACAGAAGCACTGGCGAGCACTACGGCGACGATGCTGTCGGTGTTGGACCGGGAGCTCAAAGCTCGCAGAGTTATTCCCGAGAAGATAGTGGTCCATCTGAGGGAGACAGAAAAGTAAGGATAGCCATGTCTAGGACCTATGTTCGTTTATCTGCATCTCTCGAGCAGCGTTCTCAAAGACATACTGGCGTTCGTGAGCAAAGTCAAGGAACAAGGATTCTTGAAAAATCTGTACCACAAGGAGGACTACGCTGCCGACATCGACACCTTTCACAAACGGATCTTGTCGCTTATGCATGTTTTCCAAGTTCGTCAGTTATCAAACCTGTATAATGCGCTTCTTTCATTAATTAATACTGTTCCGCAGATCTCCTCCCTCGTGAATGTCCAGGAAATGCTAGCTCATTTCAAAGCGTCTCGAAAAGCCGATCGAGCAGCGCTCCTTGGCCGACTACGGAAGCTGGAAAACAACCAGATGATGCTTATGGAGATGATAGGTACGTTGAGCCTTTCACTGTACGGTTCTGCTAGGCCTCAACCCCACCTATCAGGAGCCAACCACGAAAATATCATGGCTATGATAAGTTCTCTTCAGCGACAGATGACCAATGGCGCTGGCGGCAAGCCCGAGCAACGATTTTTTACCAGGACCCTTCGACATTTGTCAACGATCAATAAGAAGTCGGTCAAGACCGAACCTTGGACGATCACCTCATACGACGTGGAGTTCGAGAAACAGATTGATGAGGGCGGCTTGTGAGCTTTTCTTGAATCTTTTGATGTATCATCGCTGACTTGTACGATATAGCGGAAAGGTGTACAAGGGAGTCTGGCACCGAAAGATAGTAGCGATCAAGGTTTTCAAGTCGGACGCTTCACCGAACACAGAGGGTATTCACAAGGAGATTGAGGTTGTTTTCCATGGTATCGCGGCCATCATATACCTGATACATTTCTTAGATGTGGGCTTCTCTCCGACATCCAAACATCCTGCGTGAGTTTATAGATCATGCCATCAACCTTGTACTAACGAGACATTGATAGCATTTCTGGGCGCAAATATCTTGGACGATGCCCCCTTTGTCGTTACCCCGTACCTCCGTAACGGTAATGCAAGAAAGTTTGTCGAAGCTCAACCCAACTGCGATCGCCTGAAAATGGTAAGTAACACCATCTTTCCTATGCTGAATTCGGATTTAATGGAGGGTTCCTTATAAGCTCACTGACATTTCCCATGGTCTCTTGTACCTGCATTCGCGGAAAATCGTCCATGGGGACCTCAAGGCCGTAAGATAGTCTCCATAGAACTGAGAACTCGTCACGAGACCGATTTGGTTTGTTCAGGTAAATGTCCTGATAGACGATGCGCGTACTGCCGTCCTCTGCGACTTTGGATTATCCCAAATTCAAGAAGATATTATGAGGCGCGCCAGTCTGCCGAACATTGGGAGTCTCAATTGGATGAGTCCCGAGCGCCTGGCTGGGGAACCTCTCAGGTCCGCAGCTGATATATATTCCTTTAGCATGACTATCTATGAAGTGAGTGGTGCCGTACATTCTAATCCTATGCCATTCATCACCTTATGCAGTTATATACTCTTCAAATTCCCCTCGCCCATTTATCAGACGAGGACTTCCTTCCGATGGTGGGGTACGGCGACGTTCGTCCTCAACGGCCAGAATCCAACCTGATTACCGATGCGATTTGGAGTGTCATGGCACAATGCTGGATACGTAATCCGACGAAGCGACCGACAGCCTATCGCGTGTCTATCATGCTAGAGCAGTCGCACACCGCTCAGCCAAAACATCGGTCAAGGCTCCAGAAACGAATCTCCGGAGACAAGAAGGAGATAAAGGATCATTCACGGCTCTACAAGCGATTTTTTGGCGGAAAGGAAGTCACACCGACTACTACCATGTACAGTAACGATACAGACTATGCATTGGCGATACCATGGTGAATGAAGAGAATTCGGTCATGTTTACGATCTCATTGTGAAGCTGAGCATTCGGACATTTCTCTCGCGGAAACTTCATGAATAACTCTGTACGAACAGTGAAATAAAACGTTAAGAAGAGGTGAGTTAAATTTTCATGATAACCTTACATCCTTTGGTGAGAAGACATTACGAAAAGCCCGTTCCTACGAAATCTGGAAAACAACCAGATGGAGAGAAGTCTTGTTCTTGTGGTTCCGGAGTCCTGCAATCAAACCAAGTAGCGATAATTAGATTGAGATGGGGTATCTTGGATATCGTTGCAGAACGACGTTTTGGTCAGAGAGTACGTACAAGGACCTCTTTTTCTTGGCTGAAGGTTGATATCATATAATGTTGTTTCAACGACAATAAAGGCTGGGCTTGTCTAGGGCTTATCCCACGTGTCAATAATTGAGCAGATTATAGACTCGAAGATGTGCCTTGCGTCTTTCGATAACCACAGTTCTGCGGTGCAGAAGAGAGGCAAGACATAATACATGATTAACAAACTCACAGGCGGGTAGTAAACTGAAAAAAAGGATCTCTATGTATAACAAAGATCCAATGATCATGCAGTGAGTGCAAAAAGTACGTATTCAATGACTGAGTACGGATTAAGTCCTCCCTGGAATCGCTCCAGACGTACGTTCACTCGTTGACAATGCATATGCCACGCACTCCATTTGACGCCATCTCAAACAGAAGCAATAGATGATTCTTATAGCTAGCTTCACATAGGGTTATGAATTAAGAAGTAAAAAATAAAATAGGTACATCAGTAGTAGGCCTCCGCAATCTTCTGCTGTTCCTCGACACACCATTGGATGTCTTGAATTCACCTTCCCTGTCCTCTGGTGACGGTCACCTTGTCGATATTGCCGAGAACCAGGACATCAACATTGACACAAGCGAGAAATACCATGTTCACAACCCGCCTGTTTGCCCCATCCACCTTGCCCTGCCTTCTTTTGAGCATTTCGCGGCTGCCAGGTCTCGTGCATGCATTTGCAATTCTTGGAAAATCGAAATCTACTTCCAGGAGGGAAGCAGACACCAGTCCAAGTGTTTTCAATCTCTTGAACTGACTCAGGATAGGAACAAGAGCCTGATAAGTCATCATTGTAAGTAGGGTATTGGCAGCGACAATGAGACAACAGACAAGCCAGAAGACTATCTATGATGCGAGGACTGTCCAGGGTTACTTTTCTGATAGGGGGCATTACATCAGAGATGGAATAGAATATGGTGAAACCCAGTGGTAATGGGGGAGATAAACTTGCTAGCTCACCCTGCAACAAACCAACTGACCACATTTCATACATCTCAAAGTGCTGAAGCTTTTGTGCTCCTCCCGCTGCACCAATTAGCCTAAACGATGGTTCTAAAGAGGCCAAAACAACCATATATTGCCACATGTTCAATGTTGGGACAAAGAGGGACCCTGAAATCACAGTAGGCGCCGATCATAAGAGAGGTGATAGTAGGGAGCTCGATGCCTGACTTTCCAAATTTGTCATTGAATGACTGGGCCTGCGCCTCATCAATGCTGAAGATGAGAGTGTGCAACCAGCGGAAGGATGCAGACAGAAATTTGCCAAGTCGACTGACTAAGATGGATGGCACCATATATTCAAAAGGCAGATCTGAAGAAAACTATTGTGCTTTGATGTGAGTGATACCTGAGTTCACCCTAAGAACCTCGTCTAATGTATCTGACAACAATGTCTAAAACTGTTGAAGCAAGCCCTTGGAACAACTCGCGAGGTCACACCTTTAGTTGGTATGGCACCTTTTATCTGTTCCTTCACTGGTTCATGTTAGCCTGATAACCAAGCCCTCTAACAAGGTCATAACAAATGTCAAAGCTCACATTCACTGATTTTCCACCTTGAGCGTTGGTTACCGTGTGCGTTCATTCTGGTGCTTGTACAAGACATAATCTATTTTATTTTGTGGTATGTTCTACTTTCTGAAAACGACACAGTGCAGGGCTCATCTACTCAGGAGCAGGTTGTCATGGACTGGTGCCCTGTGCTTTTCGAAGTCTTTCGTCAAACGGTTTTTGGGCTCGCTCGTTCCAGTAGCCGAATCAAGGCATGATGCTTGTTTCACAATTTCGGCCGGTATATTCGCGACTCTGGTACGTCCGCAGATGTAACAGACATTTAACGGTGTTTCTTACTTTTCCTAGCCAGCTCCACCATTCAAACAGGGGTTCACTTTTGTTTCACGTACCGATGAGATCTGGTGTAAGACCAGTGAAGTAACAACCTACTCCCATTAGCATGCTTGTCGCTGTTGTTGACTTTCTGGGTTTTACAGCGGCTCTGCTAATGCTAACCACATGTCTGCATTTACTAGGCTGCTCGCTGCAAATTTGTCAAGACGGAAGGTGCAGACGTGGACTTACACTGGTCCATGGACGAATACCGTGTCTACGATGTCTGATTCTCATCTGATTCTCACCGGAGACATTTTTGCCAATCTGAGATGCCAAGTCCCCCTTTCCTCGTATAAATACCCCCACAGAACCTTTTCTGTCTCATCACAGACATGAATACCACAGATAACCAACTGCACTTTATCAATATAACCAACACCTGTGAAGCTTCATCTTTCACTATCACTCTTCTTCCTGCAGAGATTTTCAATCCGCAGTACTCCACGCAGTGTGTCCAGACCGTCAAGCATAAGCGGAATCGTCTTGACCTATCTGATGAACACACGTACTGCCATATCTGTGGATGGACTTTCTTGCACAAGGACGCCTATGAAAAGGTAGGCCCCTTTTCTCATCATTGTTCTCTACTAACTGTTTCCCTTGCAGCATTTGTACGTATCGAAGTGCCATTGCCATTGTCAGGATTGCATGAAGAGGTTCCAGTCCTCCTCTTCTTTTCGGAGAGTACGTCCCTACTTAATTTCAATTGATCGTTCTCTGATGACATTGATCAGCATAGATGCGATTACGGAGAAGGTGATTGCGAGAGGAGCCCTGAATGGTCAGAAGATGAGTTGGCAATTATGCAAGAGCTAGAACGGAACCTGGGTGAGCCTGCCGCATTCGAAAACGTCGAAGAGGCTTGATGTCCCTGGTGGAGGTTGGCGATCTTGGTAGGCCCTCGAGAGCGGCGGCCTGAACAGTATCAAGCGGAAAATTAGATTGGCCGGAATGGTTCGTGCGTCCTCCCAATTCAACATGGCGAGGGTCACACTCTAATGTTAAACAAGTGAGTAGTTAATATGAGAAAAAGCGATCTGCCGGTCACCTCTATACGACGTTGCTCAGAATCAAAGTCTGATAATTGTGGATAGGTAGGTGAGGGATTCCTCTTAGCCTCTGGAAAACAAAAATGGACTGGACGTCGAAGCCTGCCTGCGGGAGGTAGGTCATCGATCCAATAAAGTATTTTCGTAGGGATTGTACCTTGTGTTCGTAGACACTTCTGCGACGGATGTGCACAATTTCTCCCATTGATCATCGGTAAGAGATGGCTATGATAGAAATATTGTCGACCTGGAAATAGTAATGTTGAATTAGGCTGGCGCTGGAGAGGATGATGCCGTTATACACAAGTATGTCAGAAGAATCCATGCTCCGCTCACTTTGCCGTTCCTATCCTGATCGTAGAGCAGAATTTCCACGCAGAAATACCTGTATACTCCTTCTCATGGCAACCGTTTGGTGTATGTGTGTCAATGGTTTTGCATCACAAGCACCCAGGCGAAACTAATACGCATTTTATAGGTGGTAACTTCTTTGAATTGTGGGTCTCCGTCCTCCCATGCCACGTGAAGCAAGAGGCGGCTACAACGGCATGAATGAGTCTTTACAATTATGAGTTCAAAGACATGTCTCGATACACCAATGGAGGATATCACATGGTTGGATCTATGGAATGGACAAGCTGAGTAACAATTCGTGGAACTTTGCTCAACAGACTGAAATGACTTGGGTGAATGGAAGCTGTATGTATCCTCTTCAAGCAGCCTTTTGTGCTTTTGTTCAGGGCTTCCAGGTTGATTCGATGAGTCGATTTCACTCTTCCATTGGAAGGTTCATACGCCCCCCAGGCCCCTCAAATCAGGGCTGAGATATGGAAGTCAACTTTTTCTGCATTACATGAGACGTACGTGTATTATCCTTCCCACAGTTTGAAGTCCGAATCTTCATTTCGGCCGAAATCTATCTGGAGACTGCTTAAGAACGAGAGCAAGGATACACAGACGACACTCTCAGGTAGCTTTACGGCTTGATAGCTTTTTACGGTGGTCCTACGTTCGTTATGCACAAATTTATTGAAACGGAAAATTCCCGTCCGCGATAAGCAGAATAAATACCGGTCCGAACTTCAAGGCTGCACCGCAATCCCGGACCGGGCCGGAAATCGAAGCTCTGTCTTCAACCACCATGGCGTGCCAGTGACAATCTCACAGGATCTGTTATTGCCACACACTCCCGGCAGATTTGACATTCTTCACAACCGTCAGTCGGCGTCAAGCCTCAGAGCGACCATCTGTCGACCGGGAAGACTCGAAGAGCAGCCGTACAAAGAAGCTCGGAATACAACCAACCATTCGGGCGCGTTTAACAGATTTTTAAAGGCATCGACGGCCCTCTGGTTCGGAACCGTCGGCGTCCTTCATAAAGCTTGCTCGTATATTTCCAGTTTGCTTCATAGTGGTTTTTTTGCCAGCAAATAACTTTCGACCCATCTTTCGGATATCTCCGCAACATGTCGAAAAACCATCATTTCGTTGTAACGCACAAACAGCGGCCGGACGTTGATCTCTTCTTAGATTTAGGCGTCGATGGTAGACGAACTTCGGTGCCATGCTACCCCCCCAGTGATCCGCGTCTGGGGTAGCCGAATTTGTCTTCCATGCTGGGAGATCGCTAGCATTGGTCTGACCTTGGTTTGTTATGAAATAAACTCGTCTCTCTGAATTTGGCGAGGCGAGGCATACCAGCTTTTCCCGCCCCTCCATCCTTGATATTCAACTGCTGGCCGATCTATTGACGTTCTGGTGATATCCTTCGAGAACGTATCACAAACTTGTGCTTTGTAACTGCATCTACTACCCATGCCATGCGGACCTACTACTTCCTCGACGCGGACGACTCAAGGAAGCCGGATGTCTCCATGCTCACTCGTTTCCCCCAAATTCCTCCGAGGTGGTGGGGCCATCTCCTCGTTCGTCGAAGACGTCGTCTTGTCGGTCTTCCAATTCCTGAAACTCGCGGTAGCATTTTCTCGGAACTTCTACCCCGGTTATATATCACGTAGACCGTTACTCGGTCTGAATGTTACAATTTTTCATTTGTGCAGAAGAGACTTGAAAGTGGGCTGGATGCAGTACCGTGTTTGATGCGTCATACGTCATGACCACTCCCTCAGATTCTGTTGTCAGACAAGGCTGGGATAAGGTTTTGACACTGGGTCCAAGCTGGTATGGGGATACAAGGTGTTCTAAGCCAGGGTCGTCGATTTTTTTCCGAGAAGAACGGTCCTTCTTTCGGCTACAATGGCTCGCGGGTGGAAGGAAGGTACTCTGTGCCGCAAGCAATATCTCGAAGGGTCAAGGAATGTTAGCCGCTGGAAGACTCAGGCCTTTTCAGCTCGTATTCGTCTTTCCTTTGTGGGTATCTACCGCTGTTGGATCTTGTTCCCCGGCTTTGCATGACTAAGGTCATTCGACATTCCAGAAAAAGACGTGGTATTCATGAATCCAGACGTGCGTACACATTAAAAGTAAAGAGTAAAATTAAGTAGTAATCTAATCAGAGCGGGAAGGCGTAAAGGGCATAAAATTGGGGTCGTTTTGAAAACATCAGCGGGGTGGGAGTAGAAGAAGGGAAGGAGAAGCCGCGCTGTAGCAGCATGCGAGAATCAAGCGACTTGAGACATGGGCGCATCCCTGGCCTTAGCAAGAGGCTGATTGTTTTCCCTCAGTCCACTCAAAGCCAAAAAGGACACAGCCGCCGAAATAAGGGTGAACAGGAACGCGAGCCAGGGGATGATTCCGAACCAGAGAACTGGCGAAGATATGAGCTGACGGATACAATAACATCAGCCATGAACGACTTACTGAAGTGAATGTGCCTGTAAAGAGGGTTGACTCCAAGCGATGCTGCAGCCTCGAGGAGCGTCACTGCGGGTACCTCGACACCATCTTTCCATCCCCAGATCTCTACTCCCTTTCTGCGCACCGCGTCAGAGACGGGGATCTGGCAAGCGAAAAGCGCAACGCTAAGGAACGTGAAGACGTATGCTTGGACGGTTATGGCCTTTCGGCTCGTAGCGCATGAGCCCACGAAGAGGCTGACGGCGGCGGCGAGGGAGAACAGGGCCGTGATGACGCAGAACACCTCCGATGCTATAGCGGGGTGGACGACGTCTACGGTTTTGTGTTAGGATGCATGCATGGTAGGGTGATAAGAACGCAAGATGGGACGGAACGTACTGTTCGTGACGAGCCTTAGGGTGATCCCGAGAGGAGCGACAGATCTGCGGAGGAATGATTTGAGGCGGTTCTGCTTCACTACCGTGTTGAGACCGATGGAAAGGCTGATGGCACCCCATGCAAATGCCATGGCGTACGCCCCCAGACGGCTGAGAAAGAGTCGTGATGGTGCCATTTCGACTCGGATGTGGGGGGGTAGGGATGCGGGAACTTAAATGCCACTATATGTTCGGTGGGATTTTATGTCACGGGAAGCGGGGGCAAAAACGTTCTGGAAGATGGGTCGAGAATGTGGAGGCGGGTGAAAGAATTTTGAATAACGATAACAGACGAGCCCCGGAAAAAGAAAGAGGGTCGTTCATCTATCCGAAAGTGAAGCAATTCTGCGAGGTTTCGGTAATATTCAAAGTCCCTCCCATGGAAATATAGCGAGTATCGTTCACAGCAGCGCGAGATATTGAAAATTGTCTCTTGTTCGTGTCGCAGTCTTACTTCAGACCTTCCTTGCCGCTGCACGAAGTCATGTTTCGCCGGCGGCGACCCCAGGTGGAATGGTCTGGAATTGAAGATTTTACTTGAAGACAAGGGACTCCACATACGTATAGCGACAGCTTGTCATATCAGATTCGGCTAGCTATCGATGTGACTTTAGCTGAGGTGATGGGCGAGTGAGAGCAGCGATGGCCAGATCGGGGTCCCAGGACTTGATCGGGTCATAATAAAGACTTCGGTGAGCTTCACTTTCAACTGATTCTTCAAACTGCAAAGATCCAGGATTCGCCGGACATACCAGACGTAAAAGATGCAGGGATGTGGCAAAAGCAAACAACCCCCTGCGAGACTCGAACTCGCAACCTCCAGATAAATACCAAATGTAGAAGTCTGACGTCATGACCATTAGACAAAGGGGGCCTACGTCTTGCGTTCTGTTTTTCATTTTAGAGCGGCGCTCTGGCATATAAAGTTGTGAAAGCTTTGGATTCTACCAAGCGGACCAGCACTGTCACTCTAATTAAGATAAGTAAAATGAACCAATCGCGTTCCTCCACCGGTTGACCGTCGGAGGTTTACGCCCTAGAACACCATGGGCAATACTATGGCAGCTAAAACCGCGCCAACTAATCCAATCTGAACTTGAGAAGCACTGTTGTCGCTAGCGAGAGTAACACCAAAAGCAGAACAAGTAGAGCCGTATTCTGGGGGGAAAGGGTGGTGAGTCAATGATGGATTGTTCGGTGATACAACTCACGAGCGATGACAGCCTTTCCAACGGCGCTGGAAATATTCCCTTGGGCAACGACGCAGTCCACACAGGATGTGATCGACTGATCCGTCTGATTGTTGCACATGCACGCGGTCGTGGAACAGTTCTGGATGGGTGGGGCTGTTAAGGGGGGCGGGGGGATATTTTGGAATCGGGACCGAGAAATGCGGCTTACACTAAGGTACTTGATCACATCTTGACTGCAGTTCGCGGAACATGCCGATGGGATCGAGGATTCCGGGAGGTCAGTGAGGTTCTTGGTCGATTGACGGGGGGATAGGTAGATATGCGGAGATGCCAGGTCGTAGAATTGGTGTGAGAGGACTGGAGGTAGAGGTATCAGTAGGTGCCACTGAAAGCAGGGATAAGAGCTTACCGCCTTGGAAAGCGAGTAAGAAAGCAAAAACGAAGGATAATGCCAGCATGATGGAAAGCTGAGGACGACAAAGAACGAAGTTGACCTCGCAGAGGCAGAGAAAGAAAGAGATGACTGTGGAACAAGACAAGGAACGTAGTGACGGTTGACACGGTGGTAGTAAAAGCTGCTTGGTCCATCAGCGTAAACATTAGCCATTATCTGAGTCCCGACGAGCTAAAATTATATGTGATGAACTATTTTTAGAAAAGCGCAGCACTGAAACATCCAGATGGTTGCAGAGGAATCAGCCAATGCGGGAAGATCGTGAGAGTAGAGGCTGCGGTAGAACAAATCCACGGGCCATCACGAAAAGGCGACAGTCGTTTAGAAGGTACTTAATCATGATAGCATCAGTGTTTGGAATTGGGAAGATGCCGCTGTGAGAGAATCGAGCAACAAGTAGAGACAAAATGCATAATAAGTCAATACACGCGTTGAATGTGAGGCTTTGGGTAGTTTGAACGTTCAGGAAATTTCACGGTCCACAGTAGTGGAGACTGGCAGAGTCGGACAGACACCCAGGCCACTGGCAAAGGAAGTAGATTGGAAAAATTGTTGACGGTCAGCGGAGATTCAGCGCAGGAACACAGGGTTTTCTTGAGTCATTTCGAGTGCGGCTGCCGACAAACCTTTTTACGCCCTACGGTACCGGAGTGAGTAAAGGTAACCCTAACCAGAGGTTTGATGCTCCAGATTAGGGAATAATCACGCTGACGACATTCGTCACATCACGCTTTCAACCTTAACGGCCATCCTCCTTATAACGCGTCGAGGGCGACGGCGAGTACCCTCTGAGACGGCGACGCCGACGAGAAACTCCTCAATTACATTTCAATCTTTTCCTATACAAAACGCAAGTTAGGCTTCAATATGGCTGGAAAACCCAACAAGCTCGCCTTCCTGTCTATGCCTGCGCCGGCGTCCTATGTCGCTGGTCTTGGACGAGGGTACGCTCAGAATTATCTTCACAACCAATGCCAACTCATTACTTGTCAGTGCTTCTGGCTTTACGACACGATCTGATATTGGTCCAGCACGGGAGGGTCCCAGTGCTGAGGTTATTGCGTACGTTGAGCTACTTCTGATATTCGACGTGTTACTAATTATCCTGACTTTTTTTTTCTAGTGAAGCCCAAGCCCGGCGTGGCGAAGAAGCAGAAGTGGATCCGGACCAATTCCAGGATCCTGACAATGAATACGGTCTCTTTGCTGGTACGACATACGAAGCGGACGACGAGGAAGCAGATCGGATCTACGAAAAGGTGGACGAAGCGATGGATGCAAGGAGGAAAGCTCGGAGGTGCGGATTATACTCTTGTTGACGTTTTCCTCGTCCTGACTTGCGCTTCAGGGAAGCGCAGGAGCAGCTCGAAGTGGCAAAACATCGCGCAGAACGTCCCAAGATACAAGCTCAGTTTGCTGATTTGAAACGCGGACTAACGGCTGTGACTGATGCCGAGTGGGAGGGCATACCAGAAGTTGGCAACTTGACGCGCAAGAAACGGAAAACCGAGGGGAGGACGTACGTCGTTCCGGACAGTATATTAGTCGGAGACAGAGAGCGAGGCGGGATAGGGAACGTAGTCCAAGATGGACAGGAGACTCCTGCGAATGCAGGTACTCTGACGAACTTTGTGGAAATTGGTCAGGCGAGAGATAAGATATTATCACTCAAGCTGGATCAGGCATGTCTATTTCTCTCCTCAAAAGAACGGTGCCTCATATGTTCTTACAGATATCTGGTACTGCCACTTCCCTCGGCGCTTCTGGAACGTCCACTTCCATCGACCCCAAAGGCTACCTCACCTCTCTCGACAGCGTACAGTTGAAGTCTTCTGCAGAAATCGGCGACATCAAGCGTGCGCGCATGCTTTTCGATTCGCTAGTAAAGTCGAATCCAAAACATGCTCCTGGGTGGATCGCTGCAGCATGTTTAGAGGAACATGCTGGCCGAATGGTTGCTGCGAGAAAACTTATTCGTGAAGGATGCGAACGCTGTCCTGGTAGTGAAGACGTATGGTTGGAGGCAGCGAGACTACATGTAAGCGAACGTTTATATTTGGTGGCGCAACTAATCGGCTTTTCTAGAGCAATGACGATGCCAAGGTGATACTAGCCAATGCCGTGCAACATGTAGGTCAGAGCGTCAAGATTTGGCTCGCTGCGGCGGATTTAGAAGGAGACGTTAAAGCGAAGAAGAGGGTGCTGAGAAAAGGTATTATTTTTGTTGCGGCTGATGAGCATTTCTCACCGTACCTTGTCTAGCCCTTGAACATATCCCAAACTCCGTTCGGTTATGGAAGGAAACTGTCAACTTGGAGACCTCAGCCACAGATGCCCGGACCTTGCTTTCCCGTGCCGTTGAAGTAATCCCGCTTTCGGTGGAGCTTTGGCTCGCCTTGGCTCGCATCGAGACACCTGATAAGGCAAAAGCAGTTCTGAATAAAGCACGTAAAGCGATCCCGACGTCTCACGAGATATGGATTGCCGCTGGACGCTTGCTGGAGCAGGAAGCGGGTAAAAACGAGGATCCCGAGAAAAAGAAAAAGGAGATGAATGCTGTGGACAAGACGATTGAGGCTGGCGTACGCGAGTTGCGGCGCCATCAGGTTTTGCTTACGCGAGAGCAGTGGCTGAAAGAGGCCGAACGATGCGAGAGTGAGGGGTCGGTACGAACCTGCGAGGCGATTGTAAAAGCTACGGTTGGCATGGAGCTCGAAGACGAGGACCGGCTGGATACATGGATTGGAGATGCCGAGTCTGCTGAAGGCCGGGGAATGGTCGGGACGGCTCGAGCTATTTTGGCGTATGCTCTGAAGGTGTACCCGGATAGACGGGCACTATGGCAGCGTGCAGCAGACTTGGAAAAGACCCATGGCACCAGAGAGGGATTGGACGAGTTGCTCGGACGTGCCGTGGAGTGTTGCCCGCAAGCCGAGGTTTTGTGGTTGATGGCTGCCAAGGAGAAGTGGCTGGCTGGAGATGTTCCCGGAGCGAGAGGCGTCCTCGAGAGAGCGTTCATTGCCAATCAGGAGAGCGAGCAGATTTGGCTTGCAGCTGTTAAACTCGAAGCAGAGAATGGCGAGACGGGTGTAGCGAGACAGTTGTTGGTCCGTGCGAGAGATGTCGCGGATACTCAAAGGGTCAGTAGATTGTCTCTGTTTCTTATCCCAGTAACGTTTCCTTGTAGATTTGGATGAAATCCGCTGTGTTTGAGCGACAGCAAGGACAGATCGACGAAGCGCTCAAGGCTCTGTCCGCCGCTCTCAAAAAGTTTCCCAAGTTTGCAAAATTGTACATGGTACAGGGACAGATATACGAAGACCGGAACGACATCCCCTCCGCACGCGCGTCATATTCTGCAGGGCTCAAATCTTGTCCCAAGGAACCTACGCTCTGGATGCTAGCGAGTCGGCTGGAAGAGAAAGACGGTAAAAGTATCAAGGCTCGCGCACTTTTGGAGAAGGCGAGACAAGTCAATCCCGGGAATGAGTGGCTATGGTTGGAATCCATAGGGGTGGAAGAGCGGTCTGGTGGCGGAGCCGGACAGGTTCTTGCTCGGGCTCTGCAGGATTGTCCAACGAGCGGAGTCCTCTGGTCCAAAAGCATTTGGAGCGAGCCAAGACCGATGAGGAAAGCTCGTTCGGCTGATGCGCTGAAGAAAACGGGTGGTGGAGAAGGCGGTGGTAGCGCCATCGTTATCTGTACAGTTGCGAGGCTGTTTTGGGCAGAGAGGAAGGTGGAGAAGGCTCGGCAGTGGTTTGGGAGGGCTGTTGGTGTAGATGGGGATCTTGGGGATTTGTGGGGGTGGTGGTTGAGGTTTGAGAGACAGCATGGGGTGGAGGAGCAGAGGGAGGAGGTGAGGGCGAGGTGTGTGCAGGCGGAGCCGCATCATGGGCTTGTCTGGCCAGCGGTTGGTAAGGATTTGAGGAATGTGAGGAAGGGAACCAGGGAAATATTAGAGATGGTTGCTGATAAGCTGGAAGAGTAGCGTGAGTATGTGGTGTTATTTTTATTTTTCCTTTGATCTGTATTTGTTGCAACTTTAGTCCAAACATTTAAGGTGGGTAGGTCTTTTGGATAGTAGATATCGATAAATGCTGACCGAATTTTTCCTTAGGTGATGAATGCTTTCAGTTGAGAGCGCCGCTTTGAACGTGCGGCTCAGGGTCATACCATGGCATGCTTTCCCGAGTCCGGCGTATTTCAGAGAGCCGGCGGTGGCGTAGGCACCAGATTCACTGAATACCATTAGATCAAGACTGATACACTCTGAAAGAAGATAAGATTTGTGGAGCTTCTGATGGGCCAGAAACTGGGGGGCATAGGGCGGGATGGAGTCGGGACAGGACGCATAACCATACATGGTATGCCGCGGGTTCCAGAATCCGTTTATCAGAATCAGAAACTACCCCCGAAATGTTGCCTTTTTTTTGGAGTGATAGTACAGCGCATACCCACTTATCTGGGGGGGGGGGGGGGGTTGCCAGGGGAATCATGGCGATGGGACTAGGAAGGGGCTAACCTGTTGAGTTCGCCAGTACGGTGTCTCGATTTTGACTTCCTCTCGCACGTACTGTCCCTCCGTATCGGTCGCTCTCAGGGAAGGCTTGAACAACGCTGTGAACAGAAGCTAAAGATAACCCCCATTTTTTTTTGTGGGACGGATCATACATCATTTTTTCGGCAGACGAGTGGGGTTGGTCGCGTTCAGTAGCTATTCAATTGATAGCTATAAACGAACGACAAGACTTGGGGGATCAAATAGCGGGTCCGAACATTCGCAGGCGACCAAACAGGTGACACCGCGTGGAGGGGGAGAAAACAAAAGCTGACCGCCTTTTTGAACTTGGAGATTCTTTGCTGTGGGAAGAATCGTCCTAGTTTTGATTGGGGGGGGAAGAATACGAAATAACATATGGTTCAAGGACCGCATGGTAAGATAGTGTCCGAGAACATGCGTTGTTAGATTCGGGTGAGGTTGCTACATACCACTGGGTACCCGTCTCTCCGACTTGCCCATTTCTTCCAAGGGTCGGGAAATCATACGGTAACTGCTTACGGCCCACGCCGACTCGGAATCAAATTTCCGCCACCGTGAGGGCTCCTTGCCGGCATACGCGATTATCTTGATGCGTGGGCATATGTGTGGTAAGGATACCACCCACCGCTTCCGAGCTGGGTGTCCGGAGATCAAACCTACTATTGCGCGTTACATGCATGGGAAGTTCTCCGTGTCAGGCAAGAGATAGTACGGGAATTTTTCCCTACATTTTCGCTGTGATTGGGATTTCGGGGAAAATATTCTTTCCTTGTCATTCAAACAGTGATCTGATCTCGTATTGGAAATGGAATTAGGAAGAGCAGTGAGATCCTACGTACAGTGTGCGATGAGCCATTGTGATTCTTATTAGGCATGACAACGCCATTTGGGAAAAAAGTAACTCCGGGTAATTGAAGCAATGATACCATTCGCTGCAGCGCATCGATACCAAGAACTGAAAATACAATTATTGTTAAGACGACAAATCGACTCGACAGAGACATTCCAACCCATCTCCACCAAACTTTATCGATATCGTTGTAAGGGTGTGCCTAGAACTCTAGCGGCCCACATCGTTCCTGATCACAGCTGATCACGAACTCTATATATGCCTCCTCCCCCTAATTCCTGACGTCACCTGGGGATGCGCCACAGATTCAAACCCTTGATGACCGTGGCACATCCATACGCTGGGAAGATCTAGTTACCGACGGATGGAGAGGGGAGAAAGTTACTTTTACGAAGGGGCTCCCCCCCAGAGATTCGATCAAAAGGGACAGACGTATTCTGACAGAAGCCCTCTGAGCACCTCGGCAGGAGGAACCCTCCTTTTGTTCGAGTTGTAGAGATCAGATATATCATATGTGAAAAACGAAGGTGTGAGGGAGAAAGCTGGCAGTAAGAAGATCCGCTAAAGCACCGCGATGGGGTGCCTATCACTCTAAAAGATACCGAGAAAGAAAAAAAAAGACAAAAACAGAAACAAAAAATAAAATTCAGATATCGTCCGAATATCATTCAAAAGTTTGCATGGGGCCCACATGCAAAGCTCCATCGCAGTATTGCTTTTTTTTAATTCCATTTCCCGTTGTTCTAGAAGGGAGGTGGGGGAGGGAGACCCGTTTCGCGGTTGCGATCCGGGGTTAAGGTACGGAAACCCAGGTTCGGCGTGAGAAGACTGCCGCAGCCGTGTGCCGTGACCGATTGATTTTGCTTCCGATTTCAATCACGTTGCACCTCCTAACCCAAAATTCCCAGTTATCAATGGGACGCCCGCCGGAAAGGCGGAGAAACAGACTCTATGTCTGACCACATACCCCATGTGCGCACCGTCCTTGACATTCTGCTCCCCTGCGCTCAACTCATCTTTTCTACAGATCCGCGATGAGCTGCGACGAAGCTTTTTCAGGTAAAAAGCAAAAGTGATATGTCGTTTCTTGAAGACACAGCTGACAACCTTTTTGGCTTTTTTTTTTACAGTGGAAAACTCAAATCTGTCGCTTTTCGCAAGGAGCAGCTTCTGGCGCTGGCGTATCTGTTGCAGGAGAACCAAGCCCGTTTCCAAGAGGCCATGCAACGTGATCTAGGCCGTCCCCCGCTCGAGACGTCACTGTCAGCGGTTCTTGCCCTTATCCATGCCTCTGTGTCTCATCCCCCACCGTCAGGTTGGATTTGAACGGATCTATACGTGAAGCCTTTTCCTGCTACAAGCGCGTCGAGAAATGGGCCAAGGAAGAGTCACCGATATTCAACCTGGCGACGTGGGCAATAAGCCCTAGATTGAGGAAGGAAGCGAAGGGCGTCGTGTAAGTTGGCTAGTTGTGTCCTTTTGTTGCTCCATCGTATTTACCGGCTTCTAGTCTCATCATTGGGCCCTTCAACTTTCCAATATGGTGTCTTTTCAGCCCCCTGGTATGTCTTTCTCTCGAAAATTCAGTACTATTCCCGATTCGTCCCTTTTCTAGGCTGCTGCTATCGCAGCTGGAAATGCTGCCGTCCTCAAACCTTCGTCACACACCCCTGTCACCAGCGCACTCATTGCTGAGCTTATTCCCAAGTACCTCGATCCGTCCCTATATCGCGTCGTGCTCGGAGATAACGCCGAAGTTTCCGCGGTTAATTCCTTTCCATCTCCGAGTCATTCAAAATCACTGACGCACTTCTGGGTAGTTGCTGGATCTCCAATGGGATCACAGTGAGTATCCTCTTTCGTCTTTAACGAGCGTTTTCTCCCCCCCACTGCCCCATTTCTCGCACGGAACTCCTGTTGGGGTATGATTCGGCTGGTGTCGGATTAATATTGTCCCCGTTTTCGATTCAGAAACCTCTTTTCGTATCCTTTATTTTCTGCGGTGCTGATTGGTTTTTTTTCTTCTTGCAGTATTCCTCACAGGCGGACCTAACGCTGGCAGGGTTATTGCTACCGCCGCCGCCAAATATCTCACGCCTATCACACTTGAGGTAATTGCTCTCCGTTTTTCAACGTTGTCTTACTTCTTCTTCCTATCCAGCTCGGTGGTAAATCTCCTGTCATCGTTGACCCTTCTTGTGACCTCGAAACGTCATGTCGACGTCTCCTGTGGGCCAAAACTAGTAATGCGGGCCAAGTGCGTCGTATTCATATTCGCTGTCATCCATCTTCGCTGAAAATTGATTTGTGATTTGTTATTAGATCTGCACGGGTCCCGACTACGTACTCGTCCCCAAACATTTTCAAGATGAGTTTATCGAAGCGATGAGCGTACAGTAAGGAATATTCTTTTTGTATCCGTTTACCCACGGCTGACGCTTGTATAACAGGTATGCGAACTTTTACCCTAATGGGCCCGCGGCGTCAGATTCGTTCTCACGAATTGTCGGGCCGAGACACTTTGCCAGGATCAAGGCGTTGCTAGACGCGACCAAGGGCGAGGTGGCGCTCGGAGGTGAGATGGATTCGGCTACGAACTACGTCGCCCCGACGGTTGTGAGGGACGTACGCGAGGGTGATTCCCTTCTATCGGAGTCGGTATCGCATCCCCTTTTGGTGAAGGTCATTGTTGATGTGGTTCTGGGTTTAGAGAACTCTTCGCGCCGATCTTGCCGGTAGTACCAGTAGAGGATCTAGACGAAGCAATTGCGTACATCAGAGCAAGGTTCGATTTTTCGTCACTCCTTTACGTTGTTGGGGCTGAGATTTATGGTACAGAGATCACCCGCTTGCGTTGTATCTCTTCGCTCAAGACGAAGCTGTCAAGCGTAGGGGTGAGTTGTTCGTCCTCCCATCTTTCTCGCATCTTAATCTTGACGTTTTTTTATTTTTATTTTACCAGTCATCAACAGTACCCTATCGGGGTCTGTCGGCATCAACGATTGCTTGCTTCAAGTATCAGCCGAGGGCCTTCCTTTTGGCGGCGTGGGCCCGTCGGGATACGGCGCCCACAAGGGCAAGTTCGGGTTCGACACCTTTACACATCTCCGTCCGGTCATCGACTCACCTTGGTACGTTGACCTGTTCATGTCGTTGCGGTTCCCGCCGTATTCTGTATGTCTACCCCCCCCTCATGTCGCACCTGTCGATGACTCTTAAACTTTTGTGTAGACGAAAAATTTACAAAAGATTAATGTCGCCATGTTGCCTACCTTGCCCAACTGGAAAGGGGCCGGGAAGAACGTGGTGCTGACGACTTCGGCGGCGCCCGTCCCCCCAAATGTGAATGCGAGGGGAAACTTGTGGAGCGGCGAAGCTGTGGCCATCGGTATCAGAGCGAGCGGCAAGGGGGTATTATTGAACGGCAAAGAGTGGCTTGGGTTGGTTCTCGGTATGGGTGTCGTTCTTGTCGGATGTTGGGTAAACTTTGGCAGGGCGTTGTGATTTATTACGGGTATGGTGGTGGTCAATTTCTAGCTTTTTAGATGTTTCGTGGTTATTGTTTAAATTATAGGGCACAGTGTATCATGTATTGTATTACAAGATTCAAAAATGTAACTATTGATACTTTTTTTTTGCGGTGCTGGCTCGAGGATATTGGCCGTCTCGTCTGATGGGAAAAGTCGATTGTTTCTGTTTGGGATAGAGGAATGGGATGCGAGAGTATCCTGGGAAGAAATCTCGATTCTGATAGGGTACGTACAGGTGACTCTCAAGTTCGGGGCCTCTGGATTCTGATCGGTGATGTAAGTAACTGAATCCCTTCAAATGATCTAAGAGGTCTCAGTAACATAGCCTTCGGCGCGCGCGATACAGCGTCACGTGTGCGCGTAGGGCATTAACATGATTTGGAGCGCCGCATCCTAATAACCCTTAAGTTTGGACCAGTCATAGGCATGGTTTTCCACCTGTGAACGATGAGATTGACGAGGCACGGCTCATCCAGAAATTTGATTGTGGACGTAATTATCGTTTTTATCAACACTTCGTCAGCTACAGCAGCTCCGTATGCTGTACCAATAGATAAGATTATAAGCTATATCGCGGTTGCATGTATTCGTAATTTGATCCATTGATGTCTAACCGCGATGTCCCCTCCCTAGTGAACGAGTCTACCTTCTCGAATGCAGTGGTACAGGGAAACCCAGAAGAAAAGCTTTGTTTGTCCTGAACAAAGGAATCTCAGTACAAGCCCGTCTAGAAGAAAGGTAGCGACACGGTAAGCGTTTTACACATGAAATTTCCAAACTCAAGGGGGCACAAAGGTCATACTGGCAACACAAAGAGCTATACGTGTGGAAGAAGAAGAAAGGTCTGGTATGAAGTAGAGGTGTGGTTCCCCGCCCTGAGGAGTACTTGCCATCCGCTCTTCTAACCCATCTACTATCCCAGAGCAATGTCCGTCCCCAACCGCGATTTCGATGAGACAGTCCTTCTTCCAGGTGGGAAACCTTACCCGTCATTTGGCCGGTCTGCCAATCCTAACGCTTTCTTGACTGACCAGATAGGCTACCCTCCAGACGAACATGAAGAGCTGAAAGAAGAGATAAGAAATGTCTATGCAGCCAGGTATTTAGATTCGTAGCATGGCGCCTGATCTGCATTGGATTATGATGACCCATTGCTGTGTAGATCCAGAAGTACGTGAGCACTCAAAAGGAGAGTTGTGACGAACCGTAAGTATATCCTCGAAATTTTACTTCATATATTGAAACAGTTTTTACTAGGGAATCTGTTTCACGGATATCTGAACGAATTCCTCAGTGCACGTTGCGCCGCGCGGAATTCTCATCAAACAAGAATGCCAGACTCGTAAGTGATTATTAGTGATAGTCCTTGGCCGCGGCAACCATTACGGGACGCGAGTCAGTGCGACGACAACAACGGAAGTCCTAGACACCCTTGCCGTCACAGAAGAGCTCCTCAACCACTCTGAGAAGTCGGCCACGAGCCAAAGGCCAAGTCCGACGAAAGAGGAGAGAGAAATAATGAATAAACTCGTGCGAAGAGCCTCTGTGTCATTGACGACATTTCCAAATGCTAAAGAAGACCTTCTGCGGTTCGTTCGATCTCTCAAGCTCCCCCTCCAAGTCAGTACTAGGGCGAGGAGCGGCTCAAGGGGAGGGGGAGGGACACCAAGATGATCCAGTCAGACAAGAGGGATAACATCGAGTACATCTGTCGCTGTAGATAAAGCGTCGAATCAAGTTTACGAGACAGGGCAGAGGAGAAGGAGGCTGCGGTAGAGGGGGGAAAACAGACGAGCTCGGACGTAGCTTGATTGATAGTAGACATCACGATTGTAAGCAAGCTTTGATGCCGTCTGAATACTACTCACATGGTTCCTTTCCGTCCCGACACTATTCATGCCGTACGCCTTATAGACCCCAGCAGAATTGTCTGAGGCAGCAGAGCTTTTTCTTTAGTAACTATCTTGAAAGTCCCATTTTAAGGCATAGGGAAACAATTTCTGTGTCTGCGGTCTCGGTAACGCTACTACGAGCGGAGAACTGTGAGTGAAACCGCACTTGGTGGCAGTTAAGGACGACTCTGATAAGTACGTAATCCCGGGCCGTCTGGGCAGTCATAGGAACTCGTCTGTGCCGGAGATGCCACTCCCCACTCTCATGACGAAGACAAACCGGCAATTCTAGATTCAGTGGAACTTGATTTCCTACAGTCACGTAGTCTCTACACTGTGAACCTGTACAACTCGTATATACAATGTACGACCAACTGCGAGGGGAACTCAGTTGAGCCAAAGTCGACGACGGGACTCGGAGATAGACTGAGTGGCCTGGCTGCTCAGCGAGTTCTATTTTTTCTCTATTCAACGGGGGATTTATGTGCTCTCCAATGTGGCGCCGATACCTGTCCCAAAGGTGACGAAACGTCCGAGTCGCAATCGCGACTGTCGGTAGGCCTACAACATTCTGTCTCAATGATAAGGCTGGGACGCGGATAGCCTCTCTGCACAACCAATTCCATGTGTAGCCAGTAAGGAGATATATAGTTCTCTGATCCGCTTGAGCATCAATGTCCTGGTCAGAAAGGGATCGCCTCCAATCGTCATTTCTAGCAGTGCAAATCAAGAGATCGGATCAAGATGTTCAATGGCTGATATCAAAGTCTGAAGCCGTCATTGAGAGGCAACACTCCTCAGTTGCTTCTCAAACGTTTGTTCTCTGGTGTCAGTACCCGTGAGTATTAGACGCTAGACGAAGTGTATTGAAAAAAAAAAAGTCCGAATCATTTCTTCAACGCGGGGCCGGCCATCTCCGCCGCGGATCATACACAATTCCGATAGCTAATCGATGGCCACAGCCTGACTTGAAGCGCAAACTACAGAAAACCATGAGAGACAAGGATAGCTATAAAAGGTGGGAGAAGCTGGAAATAACAGCTTTTAGGCCATTAAACATCCGGGTTTAACGGTAGTTCTTATGAACAACAGCACTTGAAAATTCTACTTTGAAATACTACAGGATAACTATTATGGTGGGAGTGACAGCTAGAGTACTCTATTTGGTAAGCAATAAGTAATCTTTCTACATTGATGACCGAGATTCATGACCATAAGTAGATACGGGGGAGTCTTGTAAATATCATTAATAAAATATACATGCGTTGGTTTCCCCCAAAGCGATGCGTGAACGAAATGAAGCTGGTTTTGATGGCAAACAAAGATCTATCTAAGGGCGTGCAACTGAAGAAGAAGAAATATTCTGAAGGGGACGGAATTTGGCGGTCCGAAAGCCAGACAAACCAAATCATCAGCCGAGGAAGCAAATGGCGGGTACGTCAAACTGCTGTGGACGCCCCGCCAGATTCCCGTCCGTAGCTATAGGATCAAGGGAACCGACCGCCAGAAGAACGAGTTAGGAGGCTGTGGAATTGAGTCAGCGATACAGCGGTGGCAAGAAATATGTTTTGCTCACCCCGTTGCTATTATCGCTGACATCTGGAGAAATATGTCAGTTAGGTGGCGAGTAAGGTAGAAACAATGGGCTCACGGTGGACGATGCATTGAAAGGATACGATTATCTGTTGCCCGTGCTCAATGTAATATACGACGCAGACGTCGCCCACATTCCAGGCATGACCGGGTTGCCACACACGGTGGCGGGGAGCTGAGAAGGAGCCGGGGTAGAAGGCGGGCATTAGTATGGAGGTAGGTAGATTGTGAGTAGTGATGGGGTTAGTTGAAGAGACGATATAGAGTGAGGTAGTTGTGCTTGGTTAAAGAGAAGAGAACGGAATGATCAATCTCATTAGAAATGGGAGTGTTTTAAGCACTCTCGAGGTTCCCACTCTCAGCGGCTGAGTTGTAGCTAGAGTCATGGTTCGCTTAGGAACGTACAGCCCAAACGAGTCAGAAATGGAATAAGAAAGGAATGAGTCAGGGTCCCGTCGCAATTGTAGCAGATCATCTCCCATTTTTGGAACGTGAAAAGTCGGCATTCTGCTGTGATGAACAAGTAAGGCGTAGTACAATGTGGGGATCGATGGAGATAGACACCTGCGGTTGTTCCTGGTATACCGATTGGAAGAAGTCCGGAACTCGTTTTCCCGATAATCATCACATTTGAGGTAGCTGTATTCGAGTCATAACGAATATTTGAGTGTAAAGGATGTTGCCGGCCACGATCACGGTTCCGTTTATGTACCGCCGTCGGGAAAGGTGGGCGGTGCTTGTATGGTCCGAATGACATCAACCCTGATGATCTAGCAAAGGGAAGTAAATTGTCTAAGCGCCAATCCTATCATTCAAGCCCGCTTTGGAAACGGAAGGCATATCCACCGAAATGATTCAGGGGATTGTCATCAGTAGATAAAGGCTCTGGTTGCTATCGCATCCACTGGTTCTCCGTGGCTCATTATATGTCAGAGAATGAGGTACGTGCCCTGTTGGCCCTGCCGAAGATGCCTATCTAATGAGCTCAGAAAATTGCTTCGAAGGCAGTTCTCACTTCGATCAATATCATGTAATCAACACGCCTATTTTCAGATGCTACTAACGGACGTATCAGTTTACGCGTCTCGTAGCAGTCGAGTCATAAACGGCATGGGAACTCGCCCGAGCTGCAACCCCTAGTAGGATCGATGGCACGGTGGTCGTCGGCCACATCCATCTCCAGTCACGGGTGACTTGCACAGGACACAACATTTCATAGACATATGAGGATTGCTTGTTACTGATTAAAGGCATCAAGTTGTGCCCAACAGGGCTGTTGAAACGACTCGCCGCGGATTGTACAAATTCAATGCGAGCTGTTCAAAAATTGATTGGACACTAGAACAGTTGGAGAGGATAACCTGTCAAGACAGGAGCAGAGCATAAAGCAAGTGTTTCATACATCTAGAGGAAGGCTGAGACGTTCTTGAGGCATGGTCGCGATGTACATATGGTGGCATTCTTCTAGCGAGGTACTTGACACTGAAACGCGAGGACGCCACTACCGATAAAAGGGATCCTATAGTTGACAACGCATCCCTACAAGTAGTAAATGACTTCATATCAAGGTAAATGAAATACCTCCGGATTGCAGAGCATCAGATGGTGGCGGGCCTAACCACAAGTCAACTCGCCACTCGCAGTGCCTTTTGAAACGGAGGGGACCCCATATATCGCAGAGATATGTAGAACCCCAGGATATTGTCAAGGTTCAATCATCAGCTCAGTAGACGAAACGACAGAGTGGCTGCCGTGACAGTACGTGTGTGGATTGTTGTGGTCCGAGATGAAGATTTTTCTGATTTTCGCCCTGAGGCGGATCACAGCTCCACGTGATCATCAAGCGGCGACTCCATTTTGGGATTTTAGATTCAAATTCTGATCAATCACATCTTTCATCGTCGGCGGTCACTCGCGCATGTATTGTCATTTGTGGTAGACTGTATGGTGTACCTCGTGTCTATCGTAAGATGACTGACGGGATTGAATTTTGAACTATACAGGTTTGTCACAGATTGGTTTCAAGCCTCCATCACTGTCGATCGTACAAATTTCTACGACCAGGGGTAAGTACCTTTACTTTGATGAAGTTTGGCGGAAATTTCGGATTTAAGGTGGAGATTGCAGAGGGAACTCGAGCGTAAGATTGTTTGAATGATATATTCATGACTTCAGCGCCTCAGCGTGCTGTAACAGTTCGAATAGCATTCATCCGTATATTGATACCATAAAACAAAAAGGAACGTTCACCCAACAACCAACACCTTCTGTGTATTCTCCTTCTCTGTATGCGCCTGGGTCGCATCTTCTCTATGCTGCCACTTCTCGTACACCTTGGGGCACTTGTCGCGATGCTTGACCCATAGACTCAGATACCACTCTGCATCGGCCCTCTTGTCCAGCTGCACTTTGCGCCCACATCCGACACAGTTGACATACGTTTTTTCGACATTCGTCGCCCACTCATCCTCGCGGAGCCAGCGATAGCGTTCCAGCCTTGACAGCCTAGGTACACAATCTCCCTTCTGCATCTTCTCACCTGGAAGACGCTGGAGGGAAGCAAGGAACCGCCGGATATTCTCTGCTGCATTTGGTCTACACGTCAGCGAAACCGATGCTTTTCGCATAAGGAGTCTGAGGTTTTCTTTGCTCCTCTTCTGTATAGCCGTCTCATTAGAGGGACTTGGTCTAGGAGGAGGGCAGACAAGCGCAGGCGGAGGGGAAGGGGGAATGGCTTCGTTTCGTCTTGGAAGAACCTTTATGAGATGAGGTGTTGATACCTCTGCGATACTAGTTCAAATTATCCGTCAATGAGGCTGACTGAAGTATAGTAAAGACGTCGACGTACGTTTCCTGTTCGATCTCAGATTCTTGGTTCTGCCTTGGAGCCAGCACTGGGTTCACCTCCCGTGCATCTCCGGTCTCATTGAGGCGTAATCGTTTGGACGCAGGTAGTTCGCTGTGTACATGGTTTGAGTATACAGGCTATTGGTGAGCACGGAGGAATACTTGCATCGTGGGCCGTTTTCCGTACTCATTGATTAACGAGGAATAGTTGTTCTCCCTATCATCGTCAACTGTTTCTTCGTCGTCGTATTCTTCCTCCTCGTCGTATGCATTTCTGCCGCAATCCTATCAGCACACCACAGAATCTTGTCGATTTGATTGACACTCACTCGCATTGGCCAGAAATCCCTTCTGATTGGGCATTATACACATTCATGGCTTCAAATCGTTCCCTCCATTGATAAAATTCAGGTGTCCGGATGAAACCGAATTCACCTGAATATGGTTGTGTACAGGTATAAGGCTGGTCATAGCTTTCAGTAGAACCGTTATCGATGACTTGTGGAGTGGCATAGGTGGCAGGGTAATCGAGGGTGTTTAAGGGTGCGATAGGGCCGTAGTAGTTCCCCGAGCATAACGGCGTGTCATCGTAGAGACCGGACATGTTTGTAAGTAATATTCTTGGGAGATGGAAGGGATGATGGTCTTTGCAATGCCGCCAGGGACTAGGAAGCGTTTCACGAAGAGAGGAAGTAAATTAGTTCTCAGACGTTTTTATAGTTGACTATTGGACAACCTTTGTTATGGCTTGTTCCATGTCATTGCATTTCTTGGCATCCTACTTGGGTGGCACTAACTAACAGTCTTTGTTTCGACGAAGCAACATTCTTCGGAGATACCTTTCCATTCTCCCCACTTTCCTTTGCTTTTACTGAATACCGCTTGCCACCTTATAATTGTAACTTGCTAATGTGCAGGAAAACATTGTTGTTGAAAATTCATTGTTGTGAGAAGTGACTGTAAGCTTACATACATAGTTATGGGAAAGTGGCTAAAGTGACCATGTGGTGCCGAGTGGCACTAGTGTATAAGCATTTGACCTAGACCATTGGCCGGCGGACATGCATCTATGGAGAAGATCTTGGCTATAGAAGTGTGCTAACGGAGAACTGACGAAGTGCGTCACGGAGATCTTCGACGAGGTCGTATACCAACACATCGTGTAGGTTTGCATCGCAATTCGGGGCGAAGAGTGATATTTAATGATTATCAAGGCCTCACATCGCTTGGGATTTGTAGAGCGCCGTAATTGGGATTGGTGGTTGAAAAGAGATTCCGCGGGGATATTCAAACACGTCCTGTCTTGTCCCGGCGGCGTTAACTCCAAGACATTGATCGACTGTGCACGCCAAGCCTTGATCGACATGGATGCATGTAGGTCCACCGCCCAGGATTGACGACAATTTGCCAGCTCGGATTTATGGAGTTGATACATTGCTATCCTTTCGTAATGTCTTCTCATGAAGGCATGTAAAGTTATCATGAAAATTCAATTCACCTCTTCTTAACATTTTATTTCACTATTGCACAGTTACTCATGAAGTTTCCACTAGAGAACTAGCGGAATTCTCGGCTTCACAATGAGATCATAATCATGACTGCATTCTTCATTCACCATGGTATCACCAATGCATCATATCGACTTTACACTATCCTGCCACTTTAGCCCCCATTAAAAGGATCACATATAATTCCTCTCCAGATCCTTGTGTGCATCAATTGCAGTCTATATTCTGTATAATGACAGGACTGTACTAATTTGAAGGTGCTACAGATTAGATTCATACCACTATGAGCTTCAAAGACTGCCCAGTAGACAACAAAGAACATCATGTTGATGAGACATTGACCTATGATGGAGTAGACACATTCAGCTCATTGGTATTGGGGGTGAGTTATCATACTCTACATGCAAGACTGTTATCACAAGAAGCAGCTGTGACATTTGTGAATTTATTTATTCTATGATATATAAGTTATTTTTTGTTTCTCTATCCCTTCTGACTGGAACCATCACTGCTGATAAGCAACTGTTTCAAATCAGACAAAAATCTGGGAAATTCGATAGATAACAGATTAAATTATGATCAAGGCTTTCAACCATAGCAAAATGAGTTAGGATTCCCTTTAATGGTAAAGTCAATATATTTTGCTGTGGTCAAAAGTTTATCTGTATCTAATTGTTTCCCTTGAATTTTGATCAGCACTAATTTGACACCTGCTAGGAGTGTCTGTTAGATTACAGAATTATATTTCAGAATAGGTGATTATACATCCAGTCAGCCTGAGACTGGACCAGCTTTGATCTCTAACCCTAGGCATCACATCTTTTACTCTTTCTCTTTCATGATCCCAACATGATCCTCCTGCACTTTTTATTGTGGCAGTGCCCAAATGAACTCATTTTTACCATTTGGCAGGAGGTAATGTGATTTGTACTGCAGTGCAACTGAGGCTGTGAAGTCTCTCTGCCACAATTGACTATAAGGTAATGTCAAACTCTCTGCAAGATGTCAACAATGATATGCTTGGTGCTATCTGCACCACACTGGGGCAGTCTGAAGTACATGGTTACTTGCTCTTATGCCCACTGTCCTAATCTCATACAGCTACAGAAAATTGTACTTGTAAACAAATGACTGAGAGAGATTTCTCTGCCAATGCCCTTTTGGCAGGTGCACATCAACTGTGAATATTGCAAGGATGTGTGGAAATTAGCAACAGAGAATGTTGAAAGGCTGCTGGCTTCAACAGTTTTTGATGCTGTTGTCAGCCAGAATAGATGATGTTTTTAGGGCAAACTCAGATGTAACTAATAATCAAAGCACAATAGATTTCTTCAGACCTGTGTTTTGAATAGTATGAATGAGTCTATGATGCCCTCTGTTCTAGCCAGTTGACTTGCCAAATTTCTGTCTGCACTCTTCCACCAGTTGCACACTCTCATCTTCAGCATTGATGAGGCACAGGCTCAGTACTTCAACAATGAATTTTGAGAGTTGGGCATCAAGCTCTCTACTATCACCTCTCTTATGATTGATGCTTACTGTGATTTCATAGTCCCTCTTTGTCCCAACATTGAACATGTGGCAATATATGGTTGTTTGTAGTCTCTTTTGAACCATGATGGGACCTCCAGAGAGCATTCACTTAGGCTAATTGCTGCAGCAAAAGAAGCAAAAAGCTGTAGTACTTTGAGAAGTTTGAAAGGTGGTCAGTCATTTTGTTTCAGAGTGAGCTAGCAAGTTCATCTCACTATTACCACTAGATTTCACTGTGTTCTAAGCCATCTATAGCACAATGCTCTATGAGAAAAGTAGCCCTAGACAGTGCTCATATCATAGATAGTCTTCTGGCTTATCTATCATCTCATTGCCACTGTCAATACTCCACTTATAATGATGACTTATCAGACTCTTGTTCCTGTCCTGAGTCAGTTCAAGAGATTGAAAATACTTGGACTGGTGTCTGCTTCTCTCCTGGATGTAGATTTTGATTTTCTAAGAATTGCAAATACATGCATAAGACCTGGTAGTCAGAAAATGCTTAAAAGAAGGCAGAAGCTGTTATGATTTTTCCTATTTTCTTTTCTTTTTCCTTTCTTTTTCCTCGAAAATGACCTCTATCTTTGCTTAGTCAGAGCACTTAGGCCAGCGCTTAGGACCATGGAAATGCTTAGCTCAGTAGCCCAGTTGGTCACTCTCATAGCACATTGCTGTGTGCTGTGAAGAGAGAGACAACGCTCCTTTTGTCCCACCTTGTACTGCAATGATATTGAGCACAACAGCAAGACAACAGCTTTTGTGGAGAGCCTGGCAACAGCAAGGGTAACAGCTCTACAGCAGACAATATCTTTTGTGAACAGATATTAATAGCCAGATAACAGAACAGTATTTAAGTAGCTTAGTTCTCGCTGTAATACCTCAGTCTTGAACTAAAGTTTATTCTCTACCATTCTATCTCGAGCAACTTGCAATTGCCTTGACTACACACCTCTGTTGACACATCAGTGAACTCAGTCAGTCTAACCTGAAGTGCAAGGTTCTGAACTGTTTATCATGTGTTAATAGTCACATGGAGCTTGGGCTTAACAATTAGTTTGAGACTTCTCATTCCCTTCCTCAAGCCCAATTGTGCTGAGGAACCGAATGCCTCCTGCCCTCAATCCTTCTGATCCAAACTTTACCCACAAGTTCTTTGAACTCTTGGCTTCTATTATAGAAATCTTGATTGGTCTTCTGGTGATCATACAGCTGTGCCATGGATGCCAATCGATCATAGCTTGGACAATCAGACACTATCATGAATTCCAATGCATTTGAACCATCCTCTGAAATGTTATGCCAGACCTCCCCCTCCATGACATCCCTGCCTCTGCCTGACAGTCTTTCCGACCCACCGAAGGAACCAACCCAGAAAGTGTCCCTGGGAGCTCAGCTCAAGGGCATACTAGGGAAGAAGAAGAGGAGCAGCATCAGCAGCACACATACTCCCTGTGACCTCCAACAGCAGTCATCTGAAACCCTGACAACCCTTGGGCTGCAGGGTTTCGACGACCCAGACCCGACACCTCCATCCTGTCCCCCCAGCACAGTATCCCAGCAACCAGGCCAGCAACCCCCATCTCTAGCACCGGCCTTGGGCACCATGCTAGAGACTCTCTGGATGCCCCACAGATGGCTCGAGGGACCAGAAGTCCCAGGGGCCGAGGGTCTTGACATACCCCATCTATACAACACAGCAGCATTAACAACAGAGATGACACCTATTGGAACGATGACAACAGCAACGAGCACCACTGGTGGCAAACCGCTGCTGTCGAGGCCGACAGGGTGGAGCGCCACCCAGTTGGCAGTGATACTGGCCGAGCAGAAAGCGTACGAGCGGTACCAAGCAGAACATGGCCAACCAGTCCAGTTGTCCTGGGGCCTGCAAGAGTGAGCCTGGTACGATGTGCCAGAGACTTTTCCGAGCACTGGCAGAACCAGACACATATCAACAATGAGATTACGAGGGAGAATGCCCTCTTTGGGAGGTACCTCTGGGCACAAGCAGCAGAGGAGTGCAGGAGAGGCAAGAGAGGTAGTCAGACCACAACCTATGTCCAAACCACCACCCCCGACTTGCCCTTTAGGGAACCTGCCACTCCCACCACTGAGTCTGACCCCTGGGCCAACTACCACAAGGAAGAGGCCCAGCTCCACCTTGACAACAACCATCCATTATCTTACAGGACCGATACCATTGCAGAGACAGAGGACATCCCAGTCTGGGGAGATGGAATTCCAGCCAAGAGAGGCACCATCAGAGGAGACGATGAGGGTATCGACCCCACTGGTGATCTCAAGAGGTTCCTTGATGGGGCCTTCATGGCTCTTTTCTTCAATCCAAAGTTTTACAGAAACTTCCGCTGGTATTGCAGAGCAATAGTGCCAGGAGCAACAACAAGCATTGAGGAGCCACTGGAGCAGCCCGAATGACAGCCTGCTCCTCACCCCAGACCCAGTGACACCAGACCCAGTATGCAGCCCCAGCCCAACCGAACTGGTAGTTTATGACCTGCTCGGCAGTTCCCTCCTTGAGGATGAGGAGGGAACCGATGCAGACAATGAGGCTGAGGAGGTGGACCCCCATCAGGAGAGTGGGGATCTGCTCTCTAGCTGGAAGGAGAAATTCAAGCCAATGATAGAGGAAGAATTACAATGAGAGGCACACAAAGCGAGGGAGGAGGAGTTTACTCGGTTATACCAAGAGCAGGTAGCCGAGTTATGGAAGGATGATCTTTGGCTAAGATTGTCCTTAGGACAAAGGTATACTTTCGTGGATTTCATTGAAAAAGAGGAGATTTTACAGTATGTGGCCACTGAGCAGGCCATTTTTAACTTTAATCAAAGATATCCACATTACCAGATGGGACCATTACCACCATACAAGCCAAAATACAGTGGAAGAATGGCACCAAGGATGTGGACACCAAGTGTAATGCCATCCAAACTGGCAGACATGGCATCTTTGATCCAAACGGCATCATCCTGATACTCATTCACCACATCAGCCATCTAAAGCATGGCATCTCAGCTTGCCAGGAGCTGACCACAGGCAGCCTGGCAGTATCCTGGCTCATGGAGACTGCCACCCTTTTCACGACCCTTTGCTGGACAGCCACCCCCAGATGAAGCCAAAGGCAGTGGAGAACCAGTACCTGAGCTGCCTCCCCCAACCGAAGACAACCCTGAGATGCTTGCCCAGGGCTGGACCATCAGGAATGGGAGGATTGTGCGAAAGGAAGTCCCCAAGCCAGGGAGTCCCATCACTGATGACAGATCTCTTCACTTGTTCCCAGGACCTCCCAAGGGATGGGCACAG